TTGATCGGTTGTGTCCACTTGGGTTTTGAATATCTCCAAGAATGGAGACTCTACAATCTTTCTGGACAACCTGTACCAGAACAAAGTGGGTTTTTTTCTTATGTTTGTATTTCTTCTATTTCTGTGCCCATTGCCTCACCTGCTGTCATTGCATGCCACTGAGAAGAGCCTGGCTCCATCATCTTTACTGCTTCCCATCAAGTATTTATACACACTGATAAGAATCTCCTGAGACTTCTCCAGGACAATCAGTCCCAGCTCTCAGCCCCAGATGCTCTAGTTCCTTAACCACCTTCACGGCCTTTCACTGGACTCACTCCAGTATGCTCATCTGTCTCTTGTACTGTGGAATCCAGAACTGGATGTAAAACTCCAGATGCCTCTCACCATAGCTTACACCCTTCCTTGACCTGCTGGTAACAATCTTCCTTATACAGTCAAGGATGCTGTTGGACACCTTTCCTATAAGGGCACACTGCTGACTCATATTCAACTTGGTGTACACCAGGCTCTCCAGGTCCTTCTTGGCTAAGCTCCTTCCCATCTGTGTGGCCCCCAGCATGTACTGTTTCAGGGAGTTGTTCCTTCCCAGGTACAGGAAGTAGCCCTTGCATGTCCCTTTGTCCAGTTGCATGAGGTTCCTGTCAGCCCTTTTCCCTCTGGCAGCACAACCCTCTGGCATATCAGCCACTCCTCCCAGCATTGTGTCATCATCAGACTTGCTGAGGATGCACTCTCTTGCCATATAAGTCACTAATGAAGAAGTTCAGTGGTGTTGGCCGAGGATCAATCACTGGGGTACGCCACCAGTGGCTGGCTTCTGAACTTTGTGTTGCTGATCTCAAGCCCTTCAGCTTGGCAGTTCAGCTGGTTTTCACTCCATCTCACTTGTCTGTTTATCTAGGCCATACTTCATCAGTTGGCCTATGGGGATGTTATAGGAGACAGTTCAAAAGCCTTAACAAAATAAACTGTTAACTGTGCTGAGCCTGTGGATGCTTGGGAAAAGTTTGAGAGCTTGCCTTACTGTGCTGTCCCTCTTGGCACTTTGCGCTTGAGGTGAACCCCTACCTGCTCCGTTATACTGAATACAAGGTACATCATATTGCATCCTCTTTACCAACCTGTTCCACCACTTCCCTGCTTGATTGTGGGCTGTTATCTCCCTTCCTTCGTGCTAGTGTAAAGCTGTCCTCAATAGTTTGACCAGCTGTGTAGCAAAGCTACTTTCACTTCTAAAAAATTTACAGCTGTGAATCAATTATTATTTTATAGTCAAGCTCAATAGTTTCTCCACAATCCAATACAGACACTGCTGAAATTTGTTTCAGATAAAGTCCTTGGAAGCAGTGCAGATACAGGTGTGTATCTCTGTTAGTTCAGTTGTATTCTCACTGTTGTTCTTGAACTGTCCCTCCTCCCTTGGTCATCTACCATATAGTTACCTTATTTTTTTCCTATGAGAGATCAAGCAGAGATGTTAGGAGCAGGATCCAAAATTTTCCAAAATGAAGTGTATGGCAGGTGTCTGGTAAGACATAATTTCACTTACAGAAAAAAAAGAGATATCCCAGTCCTATGGGTGCTAAACTGCTATCACTGCTGGATAACTCCCAGAAAAAACATCCTTTAGTATCAGCATAAGAGGTCATGCCAGTCCTCTGTGTCACTGAAATCGGAACTCCACAACTACAGGTTTAGCAGCACTATCTGAAACAGAGTTGTGCTACTTGAAAGCAGCTTTAACATTGTCACTCAATCCCTGCTTATTTCAGGTGCCTGAGCTATGGAAAAAAAAGTACCTTGTGCTTAAAACATTTGAAACGTGATTAAGCAGGTCTGAGCTAGAAATACAGGCTTGAGGGTGCTAATACAACAGCAGCACGTGCTTTGCTGCTTGCAGCGTGGTAGAGGCAAAGGAAGCACGGGGACGGAGTTCTAACAGGTGTGCAAAGAGGAGTCAGGTGTTTTGGGTTTTTTTTTTCACTTTTTCACCCCAAGATGTGCCGTGCCTTGTCCGCTTCCGGCCTTTCCCCCTGACGGCTGAAGGCGAGGTTCCTCCAGCGCCCCTCAAACCAGCGGTGTTCTGCCTGTGGAGGGGGCCACAGGCTGCCGTCCCCCCGAGACGCGGGGCCCGAGCGGGGCGAGGGAGACAATGAGCGGGCCGGGCCCGCCCCGCGCCGATCCCGCAGCACGTCAGCGGCGGGGCGGGGCACGGCGCCCGATTTAAGGGGCTGCGAGGGGCGCGGCCACCGCAGCGGTGAGTGCGGGAGCGGGCGGCGAAGGAGGCGGCAGTAGCAGCTTCGGAGACAGGCACCATGCGTGAGATCGTGCATATTCAGGCCGGGCAGTGCGGCAACCAGATCGGCGCCAAGGTACGGACCGGCGCGGGCAGCGGGCGCTCCTCACGGGTCGCACCCCGCGGGTAGCGCGCAGCTCCGTCCCGAAACGAAAAGCGCCCCGGGGCAACTTGCTAAGGCGTCGCGGTTCCTGCCCCTGTGCCCGCTGTTCCCGGCGGTGTGGGGTGTCGCGGGGCCGGGCGCTGGCTGGGATATGCCCGCACCCCGCTCCGGCGCTGCTCTACCTTCCCGCAGGCAGCCGCGATAACCCCCTCGCCGCCTCGCCCCTCTGCAGCCACGGCGCCGGCTCCCGAGGGAAGGAACGGGAGATGTGTCAGTGCCATGGATCACCCGCCTCCACTGACGATGTGCAGGTGTTGCCATCTTGTAGGGGCTGCAGGGTCTTAAGCCAAGGCTAGACAATGGGAGGAGGACAAATTGAGATAGCCAGGGAGGGTCATCCTTTGGATGACAGCTACAAACGAATTAACTTCTACTTCAGTGCCCTGCCTTCTTGTCTACACTCCGTTAATTCAGCTGCTGTGGCCAGTGAAGCCCTTGAGCACTGACTCACCTTCCTGCCCAGCAGCTGCTCTGCCATGCAAGGGAGTGGTCAGGGCCGTGGTATGCACAGACTGCACTGGTGTGTGTGATTGGCATTGGCCAGCTGTTTCCACTGGCACTGGAAACATCTAATTGCTATTTTTCAAAAATTTCTTCTAGTTCTGGGAGGTCATCAGCGATGAGCATGGCATTGATCCCACGGGCAGCTACCACGGGGACAGTGAACTGCAGCTGGAGAGGATCAATGTCTACTACAATGAAGCCGCTGGTAAGCATGCCTGATTCCTCAGATGTCCTTAAATAAATGGGGCAGGCATGCCAGTTCATTGAGGCTGGAAAAATCCCTGAACAAGAACTGTCATCTGGCAGTGACTCCTCTAAGAGACCTTTGTTCTCAGAAAGGCACAGATAATACAGTAGTCTTGACTGAGACAGTGTGTCTCTCCAGTGAAATGCAGGGAGGTGGATGGGAGAACAGCAGGGGTCCTGTGACACTGGTTACCAACTGTGGGGCTGTAATGCTGGTGCTGGTCCCTCTCACAGGCAACAAATATGTCCCACGTGCCATCCTCGTGGACCTGGAACCCGGCACCATGGACTCTGTGCGCTCCGGCCCCTTTGGACAGATCTTCCGGCCTGACAACTTTGTCTTTGGTGAGTGAGTGTGGGATGGAGAAGTCCCAGAGCGGGAACTCAACACATAGAAAAGACTTGGAGCAAGTATGCAAATGACCCTAGGGGACCTGAATCACAGTGGCAGAGTGGGGATGGAAGTGAAGGGTGGAGCCCCTGAGGAATGGGAAAGTGGCATCATCTCTCTTTGTCCCCGGGGCGCTAATGTGGCACCTTGCTTGTGGTCTGCCCTCCAGGTCAGAGCGGGGCTGGCAACAACTGGGCCAAGGGGCACTACACGGAAGGCGCTGAGCTGGTGGACTCTGTCCTAGATGTGGTGAGGAAGGAGTCAGAGAGCTGTGACTGCCTCCAGGGCTTCCAGTTGACCCACTCGTTGGGCGGAGGCACAGGCTCTGGGATGGGCACCCTCCTCATCAGCAAGATCCGGGAGGAGTACCCCGACCGCATCATGAACACCTTCAGCGTGATGCCCTCGCCCAAGGTGTCGGACACGGTGGTGGAGCCCTACAACGCCACCCTCTCTGTGCACCAGCTGGTGGAGAACACGGACGAGACCTACTGCATTGACAACGAGGCCCTGTATGACATTTGCTTCCGCACCCTGAAGCTGACCACTCCCACGTACGGGGACCTCAACCACCTGGTGTCAGCCACCATGAGCGGCGTGACCACCTGCCTTCGCTTCCCCGGCCAGCTGAACGCCGACCTGCGCAAGCTGGCGGTCAACATGGTGCCTTTCCCCCGGCTGCACTTCTTCATGCCGGGCTTCGCCCCTCTCACCAGCCGCGGCAGCCAGCAGTACCGCGCCCTGACGGTGCCCGAGCTGACGCAGCAGATGTTCGACTCCAAGAACATGATGGCCGCCTGCGACCCCCGCCACGGGCGCTACCTGACGGTGGCCGCCATCTTCCGGGGCCGCATGTCCATGAAGGAGGTGGACGAGCAGATGCTCAACGTGCAGAACAAGAACAGCAGCTACTTTGTGGAGTGGATCCCCAACAACGTCAAGACGGCCGTCTGTGACATCCCCCCGCGCGGCCTCAAGATGTCCGCCACCTTCATCGGCAACAGCACGGCCATCCAGGAGCTCTTCAAGAGGATCTCGGAGCAGTTCACGGCCATGTTCCGCCGCAAGGCTTTCTTGCACTGGTACACCGGCGAGGGCATGGATGAGATGGAGTTCACGGAGGCGGAGAGCAACATGAACGACCTGGTCTCTGAATACCAGCAATACCAGGATGCCACTGCTGATGAGCAGGGGGAGTTTGAAGAGGAAGGAGAGGAGGATGAGGCTTAAGCTCCCTGGTATCAAAGGAACTTCTGTAAAGCAGGCATGCATACTGAATGACTTCTGATGGTGGTGGTGAAGCATGTTTTCTAGAAACTGTGTACCCAATTATCTTCTCAGCACTTGTAACTTTGGCAGATTTCTCAGTGTAACAGTTCTGAATCCTAATTATCACAATGTTTTTTGTCCTTTAGTTAGGAGCACATAAAGGCATGTATTCTAGATCATGTTTTCTGTCTTTCTTAATGCATCTATCGGACAAAGAGCAGCTGCTCAGCCTGTGTGGCAACAAGTAAGTTTAAAGACGTGTCAGAAATCTTGCAGCACAGTAGTGTGCTCTGATCCACTAAGGCTTACATATTCTCAAGATGTATGCTTCTCATGTAAATGTGTTTAATGTTTTTTCTTACAGGACTCAGACCTACCTACCTATAAATTGAATGAAAATGGAAAGCCATCTTAAATTCCTAAACAAGTCAAAGGACAAGCACCTCTAACTTGTTTTACAGTTCAAGTCAGCGTAGGAAGTCTTCCACTTGTCTGTTGAAGTCCTCTGCAAAACGCAGGTGTAAGTTATGCTTTCCTTCTGGCATTAGAAGCAACCTTAAAGAGGAAAAAAAAATCAAACACAGATTATACATTTTATTGTCTGAGTATAGGTGGTTAAAATACTTGTTGCCTTTTCCTTCCTCTTGGTTACCCAATAAGGAACTGAAGTAACACTTAAGTACTATCCCTAGGTATGTGGTTCAAAATGTGAACCACAGCAACAGTTGAAGCAACAAGCACACTAATTGTGCCCCACTTAGAGGAGGATAAAGTAAGCTTAAAACAAATTTGCCAAGTTTCTAGAAGCATTTTCTGTGATCTACAAAGAAGATAAGATTCCGAAACTTATGTGAGCAGACTGCATCTTTGAAAGGTATGTTAAGTACCTGAGCCCTTTTGTCTCTAACAGAGCAGTAGTTGTGCTGGGCAGTGAACACACTGAAGAGATCGCTACAAAAATGTAGAGTTCTTGTCACAATTCAGACTTGGTTAGTGTTTATGTTTTGTCTAATCTTTCTGCAAAAAGACAATGCAAAACTAACACCATTCATTCATTAAAGGAAAAAGGGAAGTCAGAACTTCTTTGGTTATAACAAAAGCTTAGAAGTGGTAGCTGCTAAGAAGGTTAAATCTTTGTAATATGGATATGTGTGACATGTCTAAAATGCTACTTACTATTGCTTTCTATCTGAGACAAACTTTATACATCAGTTGTGTCCACTTCTTCATACGGGGGTGGGAAATCCTTTAAATTGTTTTGTTCTACCATACACTAAGCAGCTTCAACAGAGCTGAAGCTATTTTGAATGGTGTGTCATTGTCTTCATGTCCTACTACAGGAAGGGGGATCAATCTTTTGGTGGTGACAAGTGCTGGGTTTTTTTCTGGGGGGGGAAAAGAGCAATAGGATGTGAACATACCCAGCTTTTATAGCAAACTTCATCTGAATTTCATTAAGTCTATTTCTTCAAAGACTAAGCAGCACAGATGTACAAACCTATAGCACTGTGTATGCTATTTTCTACTGCTGTTAATGTTTCCTACTACTGTAATGCTACCTAACTCCAGCCCTACCATGCAAATGCAGAGTGATGGCACAGTCTTCTACCAGAAGAGAAACAAACGATTTATCTGCATTACAGATCAGAAGAAGTTCTTTCTACTTTACTACTAGATAAAAATCAAGGCAAGAAAAGTTGATGATAGAAAATTGTTACTGAGAATGTGCTAAATTTAAGATTTTCCTTCTGCTTCCCAATGGAACATGTCATTTCCAGTGCTACTAGGGAAGAAGGGGACCATGTACCCAAGCGTTAATTTCTCAGAACATCATCAGTCTGGTTTCTTTTCTGACAAATACTCATACAGGGGAGAACTTCAGCACAAAGACATGCCAAGAACCACTGTTTTACATTTTACTGGATGGCAATGTCTAATAGTGTTTCCTTTTTGGCTTGTCTTCCAAAAAGAAGCTATCAGATCCTTGTCTAGTTTTTGTCATGACTTGGCTTAGTCAGCATCTGGAGCATTTTGGAGCTCAGTGAAACCGAAAAGGATGATAGGTGTTTTGAGCAGGCCACGTAGGAGTAACTAACTGGCAGACGTGGAATAAAACACCTGGATGTGATTGTTAGGAAGGTCTCTTGTTCTCATCTTTCCTGTGGCATAATGCCATTCCTATGATCAGCAGGGCTGACTTTGAGATAATTATATCAGAGATGACACCAATAAAATAGTTCCCTATATTTTGCATTCATAAAAATGTGCTTGGTGCTTTTTTTTTTCCCCCTGCTACTTCTGTTCTCTACTGCTAATCATCACAGTCTGTTACCAAGTAGTGATAGAACTCTTGTATTTGTGTGTAAATTTATGAAGAAAATTCAACTGGTAGAATACCAGCTTTTAATAGGAAGCGTTTCTGGAATTTTCAAATTGTGTTGGTTTTGGCTGGAATAGAGTTAATTTTCTTCACAGTAGCTGTTATGGGGATATGTTTTAGATTTGTGCTGAAAACAGTGTTGATAATATAGAGATGTTTCTGTTATTGCTGAACAATCCTTACACAGTGTCAAGGCCTTTCCTGCTTCTCATACTCCCCACCATCAAGGACGCTGGGGGTCCACAAGGAGTTGGGAGGGGATGCAGCTGGGACAGCTGACCCCAACTGACCAAAGCAATATTCTATACCCTATGGCATCATGCTCAGCATATAGAGCTGGGGGAAGAAGGAAGAGGGATGTTTGGAGTTGATGATGTTGGTCTTCCCAAGTATCTGTTATGCGGGATGGAGCCCAGCTTTCCTAGGGATAGCTGAACGTTTGCCTTCCTATGGGAAGCAGTGAGTTAAGTCCTTGTCTTGCTTTGCTTGCATGTGCAGCTTTTGCTTTATCTATTAAACTGTCTTTATCTCAACACATGATTTTTTTCCCTTTTACTCATCTGATTATCTCCCTGATCCAGCTGGTGAGGGGTTGATTGGTACTTAGTTGCTGTCTGGGATAGAACCACAGCACACACAAAGCACATGGCGCCCTCAGATTTTTCTTGTTGATAAAGTAATATCTCCAAGAACAGTTGCACTTTTTTTTTCCTCATTCTGCTTTTCTTAAAAACACTGAAAATTCCTGGGGCAGTTGGAAACATAAAATCTTTGAGGTTGTGGTTCACATCAGCAAGGCAGACCAAACAGAAGAATCCTGTGCTTTTTCTCTCTAATAACTGGGAATGTCTCCCCATTCATATCCTCTAAGTTCCCTGTTCTATTGAATGGCACAGAAATGAGGTCTCTTACAGCAAAACAAATGCAATGGTCACAACAACTAAAGCAGAAATTTGCTTGTTTTGATAAATATTGGGGAGTGCTGGTTCTAGCACTAGTGTGTAACTAGTAAAAAGAGGAAAAGGAACTTGGTTTCTCTCAGAGGGTTTTAGGAAGAAGCTTATTAAAATGCTGTAACTTTTTATATTGCAAGAAAGGTTCAGCTACACTGTTTGCATTGTAACTTGCTAGGGATGTTTAGAATAGCTCTGTGGCAGAGACAACTTGTCCAAATACTTTTTTTTTAAATACACTGTGGGTTTGAACTGCTTCATCTCTTCAACAATGGTTTATAAAAACTCCATCATATAACTTACCGAGAGCCTTTGATGTGCTTATGAATGTATTCTGCATGAGCCTGTGGGACCAAAGGGTCTTTCTCGCCATGAATTATAAATGTGGGGCATTTAATATCTGGCAGCAACTGTTGGCAGATATTACCTAGGGAGAAAATAAATGAAGGTCACACTTTATTTTAAAATTGTATGAAAGACTGAAACTGCTTTTGTAGAGGACTCTGAACTCTACTGGGTTCTAGCTATTGACTCTCCTTGTTGATACTGTGCGGTTAATCTACAGAACTAGGTAAGCAGGACTACAGTTAACATTTCTTTCTCCAAAACGTTACTTCACTGCAATTTGCTTCATTAATGGATACTAGCACAAAAGGATAGAGAGAATGAAGTAGCTCTGTTCCACATTTCCCCCGGGCTCTCTTTGACTCTTCAAAGCCGATACATGCATCTCCTTCCTGGCTTTGTTCTTTTCAGCCGTAAGAGTCTTACAGCCCTCATGTTAATGCTGCATTTTGTTACATCGGTTGTCAGGTTACAAGATTTGCTACTTCTATGAACAAGTTAACTTGGGTTGTACTCAGGCCTGTTGCACCTCCCAGACCCTTTGTTGTCTGCGATGATGTAGTGGTTTGACCCTGGCTGGGTGCCAGGCACACACCAAAGCCACTCTCCCTTCCCCACACAAGTGGACACGCAGAGAAAATATGACGAAAGGTTCATGAGTCAAGGACTGGGAGGGATGACTCATGAATACCATCACAGGCAAAATAGACTGAACTTTGAGATATTAATGGAATTTATTACTAATGAACTCTGAGCAGGATAAGAAGTAAAACAAATCTTAGCAATTCCTTCCCAGCTCTACCTCCTCTTCCACAGGGTGCAGTGAGACAGGGAATGGGGGTTAGGGTCAGTTGTTTCGGCCATTGCTCCAGGAGAAGAGCCCTCCTGCTTCAGTGTTGAGTCCCTCCCATAGGAGACAGGCCTCCACGAACTTCTCCAGCATGAGTCCATCTCACGGGCAACAGTTTTCCATGAACTGCACCAATGTGGGTCACCTTTCCACAGGGTACAATCAGCTACAACCTGCTTCCATTGTGGGTACCCGATAGGGTCACAAATCCTACCAGGAGACCTGCTCTAGGGTGGCCTCCTCTCTCCGTAGGTCTGCAGGTCTCTGCTCCAGCATGGGCTTTCAATGTGTTCACAACCTCCTTTCAGGTATCCACTTGCTCTGGCATGGATCTCCTTCACAGGCTGCAGGTGAATCTCTGCACTTCCATTGACTTTCATGGACTGCAGGGGCACAACTGCTTCACTATAGTCTTCACCACAGACTGCAAGGGAATCTCTGCTCTGAAGCCTGGAGCACTTGATCCCCCTCCTTTTCCCCTGACCCTAGTGTCTGCATAGTTGCTCCTATCACACAATCTAACTCTGCTCTTCTCTAGCTGCAATAACTTTTTTTCCCTTCTTAAATATGTTATCACAGAGTCATTAACCACTGTTTCTGATGGACTCAGCTGTGGCTAGTGGCATGTCCATCTTGGAGCTGTCTGGTATCAGCTCTGCTGGACATGGGGGAAGCTTCTAGCAGCTTTTCACAGAAGCCACTCCTGTAGCCACCCCTCTGCTACCAAAACCTGGCCACGCAAACCCAATACAGATGCATAACCATTCAATACAAATTGTACTAAAACTATTCAAAGGTTATTTTCCCTTCCCATTCAGAACCTGAAGAATAATTTTATGCATGCTTGTTGTTAATCTTATTAGAAGTAATTTTAATGCTTTTGCTTAAAGACTCTTCTGAATTTTCCCCTCATTTCTTTTTTCCTCATTCCTTAGTAACCCAGTATCCAAACTCATTGCTTAACTTCTCACAAGGGAATCTTTGGGCAAAACATCCTTGACAAGTTTCATGTTCCATTTCTCTTTGAGCTAACTTTGTCCTATGCGTAGCTGTCTCCTTGCAGCTACCAACAGCTGAAAGGTTAATGCTCATACATACACACTTTCCTTAGCTCTAAAGTCAGAGGCCATTTCAAAGAGTTTTTCCAGTTGCTTCCTTATTTATAGAGTCTTAGTTTGCAGTTTTACTGGTTAAATATTTTATTTTAGAACATTTCACTCACAGTCCTCTAACGCCTGCAGAAATGTTGACTGTTTTCCAGAACAAGTAAATTTAAGTTTTCTCAAGACATAGCTGGCAGTTATTTCCTAGTAAAGCATGCAACAGCAGCAAGAATCTTGGATTTTACAACTTTATGCAACTTAGTTTCATTAAGCGTTGGCTCCTTCTAAAAGTTCATTTCTTACGACATTGCACACTAAAAGCTGTCCCATTTAGGGCAAATAGTCTACTTCTTAAAAAGAGCCTGAGTTGAGTTTTTGACCAGCGTAAGCTTTGCTGTCCTCCTTTTCTCTCTGATGGGTTTTATTAACCCCTTTTCTTAAATCTGCTGTTATCTGCACCTTTGTTTCCATGTCTTAACTTTAATTTCAAGGAGCCTTGTTTGTAGTCTAGGTTGTTCTCCCCTGGAAAAAAATCTGCAGTCCAACAGCTGCTCATCTCTTTTAGCAAATGTCAGTCTTCTCCCCATATCTGACCCAGTTTCAACAGCTAGATAATTCAGCTCCATATTATGTGTCTCCATGTCTTAATGTGGCTTCATTTTCATAGTTACTTCATCTCTTAGTGTCTGAGGCATGTGCATCCAGTGAAAGGATGTCACAGCCAGTTTCACCAGCCTGGGCTTTGCATTTCAGAAAAAAACTAGTTTTAAGGAAATGCATCCCGGAAAGGGTAAAATAAAATCAGATCATAATTTGTTACATCTCTCTGCTGGGAGAAATTCTAGTCCCATGAAGATTCTATGCAAAAATTTATGGAAAAAATATGAAATGAAGCAATGTTTTCCTTGTAGTATCTGCTGCCTGTTCCTTTATGTCACCTTTTGTCTTTCACTATGAGAGCTATGGGAAAATGTGTTAAAGAGTTACAAACTCCTTTTTTTATGTATTATGTATTTCTGCTTTAAGCACATTAGAAGAAATTTCCTCTAAATTAAAGCAGAACTGTAGATCATTATTCATAATAGCCTTGGCTGAAAATGTCTGAAAATGTAGAGTAATTGCAGAAATCTTCAGAGATACACAATTATATTGTCTAGTTCAACTAATTTATTTTTTTAATTTTTCAAACAACTAAGATATGTCAGTAGTGGTTTTTAAACGTGCTTTTTTAATTCTGAGTCCTCAAAATCTTACATTCCTTCTTTTTTAACTCATATGCTTCTAGGATTGAAAGAGTTCTTGAGCTCTGGTTTGCAAAAACAGGAAAGAACACGCTTTTGGGATATCATGCTTTTGGGGTATCTTAACAGCATCACCAAGAGATAATCCTTTGACACAGGGACAGGAAAGGAGAAGATTCTGCTTAAGCAGAATCTCTCCTCTTCAGTCTGCACAAAAGCAATGACTTGATAATGCAGTTTTGCGGTGGAACAAGAGGAGAGACTCATCAGCTAATGTTTTCCCTAAATGTGTTTTCCTCCTGTACCTTGCTGGTTCTGTGAACCATCTACAAAGTAATTGCTTTATTCCTGAGTGTGAGTCAGACCCAGCTTTTAATGCCATATGCAGAGTCCTTCCTTTACTGGCTTCTATGAGTACTGTTAGATTTTGATCCAGAACTGCTATTATTATTGCTTCAGTTCAATACTGTAAAGGCCTTACCATCTGAATTTTCAGCAAAGCGAGATATTCCATCTACCCAAGCCTCACAGGTTTTTGCAAAGTAGTGATGTCCATACATCTCTTCCAGTGGTTTCCTGACCTTTTCACTCCATTTTGAAACATCTCGGATGCCTACATAAAATAACATTGAAATATGTTAAGTCCTGTCCAGCAACAAGATACAAACCAATACTGGCAACACCTAATATGAGGAAGTTTTCAAACCAGACTGCAAATATGTCTTTCAAACTTGAAACTGTAATAAGTGGTTTTAAATAATTCATAGTATCAAAAAAGTACAAAAGAGATAGTTGTGCAGTCTCTGCCAGGGTCTTCTGAGTTGTAAAGGACCATCTTGTGATTATGTTCACAAGGAACAACATAAAAAAACCATAATCAAAGGACTCATTCCTAAAACTTCTGATGATCCTTTTTGGAGGGCTTTTAGAAGAGAAGCTCAAGGAGGTACCTTGTGTATAAAAATGGGACTGTTTTATATCAGCATGTCAGAGCTGGCAATTCTTTTTTATATCCTTTAGCCTTTTGCACTGGCTCGTGGATGGAAGTTCTTCCATGGCTCCTACCAGTTCTCAGAGGAAGGAAGCTCTTACTAAGGCATTCCAGCAGGCTGACATCATGGTACATTTGCCATAGTCTTACAGAAAAACAAGTGATTCTACTTAGTAGAGTTCTGTGACTCATGGCAGGCTGGCTAAAGCTGTACAAACAATCTGACATTCTGGTTATTTATTTATCAGATTTACCTATTTTTCATCTCTAAAATTTTCAGTAGTGCTCACAAACTAAGTCCAAATGGGTGATTTTCACTGAACTGTATTTCAGGTGTACAGCTTTGTACCAATAAAGCCTGAAACAAAGGTGGCATGGCACAGAGCCTGAAATTACTGAATGATCAAACAGCATATATGCCACTTGCAAAGCTTTTAATTAGTTTCAAATGGGAATTTGGGGAAGAAAGGAGTGAGGTGTTAATTAACAAACAGAACCTGTTCGGCCAAATGACAAAGGTAGCAGTGACTGAAAGTGTTTTATAACAGCATCTGATTGGAAATGAGTTTGCTCACCCCAGGCTAGGTGTTACTGAACAGCTGTTTCCCATATAGAAGCTACTGTTTTATCCCTGTGGCTGGTCTCAATTTAAAAAGAGAAGGGAGAAGTCAATATTGAAAGGACATAGATACCAAATAAACACCTTTCCCTCCTACAAAACACTCTACAGCAGCTGAGAGGCACTGATGAGCCAGTTGCAGAAGACTTGTGCTGCTATCCTCTGAGCCCCATCATCCAGAGATGTTGAAAGCACCAGTCCACAAAGAGGCCAAAGGTCAGCATTGCAGTGGGTGCTCCATGTAAAGTAGGACTTTAATTAATTATTTATTTATACATTTAGCCTGTTGGCTGATACTAACAGATATGTGTTTCATATTTATATAATAAAAGCTTCATAAATATAAAAACACGCAAAGAAACAAAGCAGAACTTTTACAGAGCTAAAAAGCATTTTGCTTTCTGAACTAAAAAATACACTACTACTACCACCACTGAAAGTATTTTAATATAGGTAAGGTAAATACATGTGCAATACATACACTTGTAATTCAGCTGAAGCTAGTCAGATTTCACAGCTGGTATAAATCAAACTCCAGTCACTACAATGAAATTATACTGGGCTACATTTGTTGAGAGCCTACATGGCTAACTCTTAATTTCTATGTATGTTCAAAAGGAAATATGCTCCCTTTCTGAATTCACTACCAGTTTTTTTGCTATTTTCCTTATAGTAAGAAGTGATCAGAAGTGATTCTATTTCATGTGAATGGAATAAGGATCAGAAACCCCATGTTTCTTTACTTTGCAAAGATTTTGTAATGACAATAATTAACTTTAGAGGAATTCAAATTATAAAGCCATCTTGGGACACTTACTTGAATGATTCATTTGCTTCCTGAACTTAATAGGTGAGTTATGAACTTGTTTTCTTAGTGTCTATATACTATTATATAGGCCCTAGAGGCACAAGCTGTTATGGCCAGCCCAGTGATTATCTATGGATCTTATTTAAAGGCTGTGCAAGACGTGAGAAAAGAAATCAAACCTGTGGTCAATAGTATTTGGATTTTATTTTTAAGAATTTGTTACAGCAACAAAAATTTGACTTTCTGAAAACTACTACTATAACTTACACTTCTCAGCTCTGTAAGTTGCTGAGGACTTGTTAAAAAAATCTATTATATTACCCCTAGAGCAACTGTTAGAGAGTTTCTCCCTATAATCTATCCCTATACTTAGCAATGTAGTGAATTTTGTGTCCTGTCTCTTGAGGTTTGTTGTGTCCTCAACTCTTTCTCCACTTCTAGCTATTACATGATTAAGATTCTTGGGTCAAGAAGAAATTAAAATAATTCATTTAGGATACGGTATTCAGTTTGTACATACCATTGTAAATTCTCACATCCTCTTGAGTAACGCTGGCATTTGCTCCCCAGACAACCAACTTGTGGATAAGGTTTGGATACTTTGCAGCTGCAATGAGTGCTGTGATTCCACCATCACTCCACCCCAGCAAAGAGAACTTCTTAAATTTTAGTGCCTTGATTTATACAAGAAAGTTATATGCTCATCATCAGCTGGTTTTACAAGCAAACATCAAATATTTCTCAAAAACTAACTGTACAGTTTTAGATACAACACTACATAGTTGAACTATAGTTAGCTTTCATATTTAGAAAGTATAATTTTCCTGCTATACATAAAAATACTAGAGAGAAGGTCAACTATTTAGAAAACAATAAATTACACCCAGTATTTCAATTTTCTATAAACTCTTTTATGAAACAGGCAGTAGTCCTAATTAGAATCTTGCTGCACTTAAAAAAGCACTCAAAAAAGAACATAAAATAAATGAAAAGAAATGTTGATTTACAGTGTAGAATAAAGACCTTTCAGAGAGCCTGATGGCATGAAGAGTCTGTGGATTCTCTTGGTATGAACTTGGCAAAGACTATCACGGTGTGGATGGTAGGTAATCCAAGATCAAGCTAAACTTAAGAAAAAGAAAAGCATAAGACTTAAAAAATGGAACCCAGTGATCTAATTTATTGATGCTAGCTGAGCTAAAAAAAAAATCTGCTCTGTAACAACCAAAAAGTGCTTAAAGTATTTCCTAAAGGATTGTATCAAGTTTTAGTGGCTAATTGACATTTTCTGAAGCTTTAAGGTATATATTTTAAATTTTACTTCATAGCAAATTGTAATTCAAAATATTAATAATGAAATTCCTCCTCCTCAAAAAGGAGGGCTCAGGGCAAAAAATACAACAACCAAGACCTTAATTTATTCTGACCAGTGCCAGGACTTGAGGAAAAGGCATGAAGCTGAGTTGGGGGAGGTTCAGGTTGGATATCAGGAAAAATTTTTTTCACCCAGAGGGTGGTTGCGTGCTGGCACAGGCTCCTCAGGGAAGTGGCCAGAGCAGCAAGCCTGTCTGAGTTCAAGAAGCATTTAGAGAGTGCTCTCAGGCACATGCTGTGATTCTTGGGAATCTGTGCAGGGCCAGGAATTGGACTCAATGATCCTGATGGGTTCCTTCCAACTCAGCATATTCTCTGACTCTGTGATAATGCTTTCCACTAGAATTTGAAATTCTTGTTTCCTCATAAATCAGAACATGTAGTAGGGGGTACTGGAGCAAGAGGAGAGAGGATTTTGTGTGTGTTGTGTTCAGTGGGCAAAGAGTGGGGAAGGTAAAGGCACTCAAGAGCAAATGCATCTGAAGGTTGTACAGGGACAACGTTCAATGGTTAAGCGATATTTGCAGTTTTTCATATAGAAACTTCAGTTTGTGAATTCATTCACAAGCAAATATAAAGGTTTCAAAGGGTTTTTTAGTTTTGTTTTGCAGCCTTTTAGATGTGATTAAGGAAGATAGTGTACTTTTGTAGGAAAAGGAGCAAGTTAGCTGAATGAGTTTCTCTGGTGCTTGGTGTTGTTGGAAGACCAGTACGTTGTTGGGACAGAAGAAAGCAAAAATGCAGGCAATGAGAGAAACAACTACAGAGTGAGAAAAAGAAGCTTCTAGTCTGCTTGTAAACTTGATGCTCAAGTGAGGCATAACTATCAGTTAGCTCAATATTCAGCAAACTTCTATCCCTATAAGGCTTTTCTGGTTTTGGTTTATTCCTTGTTATAGTGCTCACTGTAGTGTTAAGCAATTTTAGATTTCACTCTGCTGAGCTATAATTACTGAACAGAAAATAAATGAGGTAGGGACATGTAAAGTAAAAGCTGAGAGCAAGAAAAGAGAGAACCTTGAATTTTAGTAGCTGACCAGTTAGCCCTGGTCTGCTGAAAAAGTAGTTATCTGTGACCATTACTGTTCTTCTGAAGGATTACTGGTGCCCAGGCAGCAGTGCTTGCAAAGGTTAAGTTTTTGATGTTGTTCCTACTGTTACCTTACTGCCAATAGCAAATTATGGAGCTCAAGGTGGGCTGAGGGGTAGAATAACTGATTAAAATTTTTGTTCTTTATGCCAGGTTATTTGAGATCTATTTGCCTCAAGTATTTCTCTTGTTTACTAGCCATTATCTTGATACATTCTTTGGGTTATCTCAGGATGCCTTCCCAGCAGGAGGAATTTAAATTATCCTTTGCAGCCTTCCAAAAAACAAGGTGATGTAACAGATGTGTTGGATAAGGTATGCATGTTTGTTTGCTTTAATTCTGAACTACTTACAGTACAGGTCTCTACCTAATACTGGCAATAACTTGAAAGCTGGTTGTACAGCACAGTTCTGTGGAGGATTTTGTGCTGCCTTTACTCTGTAAGTAAACAACATTTCTTTCAATCACCTTCTCCATCTGGACCTATGTGAAATGCAATCAAATGACCACATACGCTGTGAGATAAGAAACATACAACAGTGAGTTGCAATACAAAGCACTCTGCACTCTTATGTTTTAATTGGATCACAGGGAGTGCATCATCACAAGCCAAAATTACAACTGATCTACAAAAACATGGAGAAGCCCAAGCTCATCCCTTCACTAGGACAGTAGCTCTGAAGAGCAAGAAATTCTTAAGTATCAATTCTTATTATTTGCCTAATGATTGTTTTAATGCTATTGACTTTGCTAGAATTAGACATTGGAGTGGAATGTGGGGAAATGGACTTATTTGCATTGTACTCCTTTTATTTCAAGCAAGCTCCTTCAGAGAACACATAAGAGATACAAAATAGTGTTATCTGCATAAAGATGCTAAATACTCGCTAGAATTTCAGCTTTTATTATTTCACAGGAAGCTTACAGCACTCACATCTCCAGCAGAGACACCAGAATCTGAAGGTGACTAGAACAAAGGTTTTGAAGGCTCACCTACATGGATGTGTTTTCTGTCTGAGTGTAGGCTGGATGATGCATGTAAACCATTATATTCTGCGTATCACAGTTGGAATGATTCCTTGGGATTTGTGCTATCCTTTATAATGTGCTAAAATAGAAGCAAGCAACCCACACTTGGGAAGATTTCAATAATTTGTTATTATACACTTATATTAAGAAACATCTTCAAAAAACCAGGATGTTATGTCTCATTTGTTTTGGCAGCTCTAGAGATTTGTAGGCTGCTGTCCTGTTTGACTGGAAGCTACATGGTTACGTTCCCTTTGGGGAAAGCTCTGTTTTCTATTTTACATTTACTAGTATTTGAACACAGGTCAAGAAAGGGGATTACAACCATTTAGACTGAAGTTTGTCACCTATTCACGGCAGCATCTTTATTTTCTTTGCTAGTGTAGCAGAAGAAATTGAAGATTTACAGTACAGAGAGATTGCTTTTACAGTTAGAGGGCAAATATGTGTCTTAATCCTGGTTCTGCTGTCAGACTTATTTTGTTTCACTGTGCAGAATACACCAGGAAGGCTGCATTTCCATTTCCAGATGGGTTTCAGAAAGGTTATTTTTTATTACAGAAATACAGTTGGATTGACTGTCTGAATCTTGTCTCATATTTTTGAAATTTGAATGCCCTGCCAACTTTCTTAACACGACCAAAGAGACTGTATAGCTTAATATAACAAAGAAAAAAATTAGTTAAAACTAAACCAGAAAATTGGTTAAAACTAAACCAGAAAATTGTGTCAGCACTTATAGGATGAAATAAAAGAACACAGAAACACAGATTTGAATAAAAAAATCTGCAAGAAGGAGAAATAATAACAGCCTTAGGCCATATTATTTGCAATCACAATAGTTGTATTAATTATTAAGATTTGGTAGGGTCATAGGAACCCTTTGATTTCCCATAACAATTATTTCAGTAATATGCTGTAAAATGCAAAAAGCATCAGGTAAATTTTTAGAATCAAATGTTTCTCAAAATGGGCTGGTCAAGACAAAATGCCAAGATTCTATTAGATAGAAATTTTCTAAGAGCTCTTCAGTACTGTAATCTCTTCAATTAAACCACTGCATAGGCTTTGGTTTTAACATACACTTTACCTAAACTTATATGGTTCTTGGCTGCAAATCTCTTAGGGCAGGTCTTGGAATAAATGCATATTGCTTTATAATTAATTCCCATTGCTGAACCACTATGTGTCTTGCAGAATAGATGGAAGAAGAAATTCTTTTCCATAATAGTGCGTACTTGCTCACTCTAAAGTCTTCATTTGTACCATCTTTTGCGTAACTTATGGTCTGCTGGAAACAACCTTCCATCCTTCTCAAAATTTAAGAAAGACAGCTTTTTTTTTTTTAAAAAAAAAATGAAATAATAAAATCTCAGAATAGATTTACCTGCATAAGATCCACAGCATCTTTTGCATCCCTCTCAAAGAAATCTGGAGGAAAGTCTCGAGATGGAGGAATGGACTTTCCATATCCCCGAGGATCCCAAGCAACAATTGTGAAAAGTTGCTTATTCATAAACTTAAGCTGAGGTCCAAAATCAGTTTGACCACTCCCTGAAACAGAATTTTGCAGTTTTATTAACCACAGTAATACATACTTAGTATATATACTCTGAGGAAATTTGTAACTTTATTCTAAAAAAGATATTATCCAACAATTGAATTACTATTTATCTCTAAGTGTAACTATCCATTGCAACTCTCAGACAGGAAGTAGTCCAATTAAAATCTTTAGAACCATCTGCAATGTGTTCAGAGCAAACCATTTCTGGTAGGTACGTAAGCTTATCAAAAACTGTGTATTACACAGACGATTTAATACAGAATCTCAGAATTACCTGACTAGGGATTTATCTTTAACAGATTTAAAGCACTAACGTGGTCATTGCTGTTCACCAGGGAATCACAGGTGAAACTGAAAGGGGAGGGATATATTGACTCTAGCTACAAATCTGTGGGTGAAAAGTACTGTGTCAGACAGTTGCTGCTATTTGAAAAAGCACTTCTTACTAGGATGTTGCTACTTAAAGGTGACTTTTAAATACTTTGTTGCCTGAGGAGATAGTCATGACACAGAAGCAGAAAACTGTAACTTTTGATTTATGATGTATAGTTCCAATATAAGCCAAATACAGCCATTTTTTCCAGTGCTGAACCATTTCTTTTATTAATGACTCAGACCTTCAAAGGATTTAAAGATGAAGTACTCCAGTATATTGCACTAAGCTATCTGTGAACATTAGCATGAAGGTAAGACTGCAATTTATGTCTTATTTGCATAATGGTCATGTGGTAGCAGTACCAAATGCTATTTCATTAAAACTTGTTCAGATTTAATATGCTCAAATGATGGAAATCAAATCTAAAATTGGCTATCCATTGCTGTATTAGAGTCAGAAGCAAAATATCAGGTTGTTTGAAAAATGCCAACAACAAACTGAGTAATCCCATATTCTTACAGAGGCTTTGTATGACCTCTGCACTATCATGCACGTGCTTGTTATACTATATTTTTATCACTTAAAAATTACACTTTTATCACTTAAAAATTACTTTAAAAGACTGAGAGCATATCTGAATGGTGTGTTTTTGTGGTTTTCTTAGTATTTTTCTAGCTAGAAAGAGATAATTCTATTTTGATTTAATGTAGTTTACAAATAGCCTAGAGACTAATTAATTCTGTTGACCTGAAAGCACTTATCTTGTTGCCACATCAAACTTACTAGTCTAATAATGAAATAATATTGAAAACTTAGTGTCTGTACAAAGGGAAGAAGTATATGACAGTCAGAATGTGAAGTTCGTTTCCACATGTTGCCCCAAAATACTAAATCATAAACTTAGCAATGGTAAATATACTATTTTTACTAATGCTATCAGCACAATAGCAATGTACACCTAATAGTAATAATATTACTCACAACTGAAGAAATACAGTGTGTCTATTAAAGAGTTAGCATTGGCAACAGTATTACTAGTTTAACAAGCTGTTTAAAATGAATAGGTTAAAACATATGACTTCTAAAAGCATTAACATTTTTAGTATTAACTTTTCTCTACTCTCCTATTGAGAATTCTTTGAAAGAAAGAACCATTTCATGGAGACTTGAAAACATTGCTGCCAAGAACAAATGTTTCCTGCTCTTCAGTTCTTGACATCCTATCATCTTGATCCAGCAATTCAGTTAAGCATTAGCCCAAGTCTGAGCACAATAAGTCCTACTGACAGCCTGCTATGAACTGTTAGTAAGTGATTGGTCCTTTAGAACTGCAAGAACTCAGAAAAAATAGGCCATGTTAATTTTAAAAGGCTCTTATCAAAAACAGATGGACAGATACCACTTATCTAGCAGAACCTGTTGTCCACTTCAAAAAGCCACTGAGAATCTTAATGATGTTGCCCTGAATAATCAAAACATGAAAATGTTTTAAGCAATAAGCAAGTTTTAACTGTGACCTTTTCACTAAAAATTGCAAGTGCTGCATCGTCTATTAATTCAATTGGAATGCATCTAGCTTCTAAAAAGGAATGCATAATTCAGTCTGTGTAACAAATATAACTGACCTGATTTTCACCACTCTTCTGCTATTTTCCACCTTATGTAGCTATTTGCCACCTGTCCCAGACACTGCCTTTGCACAGTTAAATCCAGAAGGGTGAGTGACCATTACACAAATCAAGACCTTGTATAAAAAGCACCTGGTGTGATAAATGAAATCTTTAAAAACTGTTAACTGATGGTAACAACTCTGCATTGTCCTATCTGTTGTATGTGCAACAAATTTTTTTTTAAATGATGATGCTCCTTAATCAGGTGTTGTATATACTACAAATCAGTTTTGTGCATTCTAGCTTGAGAGGTGGTTGCTCTACAAACATAAGATAAAATCTCCAAACCTAGCATTCCGGGAAGCAGAAGAACTGCATGGCTTCCTTCTCCTGTCTGCTGATAATGCAGGTGGACTCCATTCACCTGGATTTTGGCAGACGTTATTGAAGTACTAGGGATGGGGGAAGGGGAGAGAAATAGGAAAACATTCAGACAGTTAATTTTCATTACTACGTGGTCACTTCAGGAATACAGAATAATTTTCCTAGATATTAATGACAACGCTTGCCTTTCATGGGTGCACAGAAGGTTAAATAAAAAGCTTTTCAGGAGCAGAGAAGTATTCAGTTGTGACCACTCTGTAGCATTCATACTTAGGTTTCACAAATGTACTTAAATGACTAAGTTAAAGGGTAGGGAAAAAAGAAGTCTTGATGGTGTGACGAGGAGAATGAAAAAGTAGCTTTATGTGGCTAAAGAAACATATTGAAATAAATACATTACAGAGGAGAAACCTCATTCTGTCATGGCATATCTTTTGAAATGGCTGGTGTTCACCTTGTTATTACTAAACTGAGCCTCTCCGTCTGCCAAAGAAACCACAATCTATTGTTACAGTTTCCCATGAACCACAGGGTCTACAATGAAAACCACTTTGCACTGAGATGAGAGCAGAGAAAAAGAATGTGATAATATTTTTGTCAGTGTAATCTCAGCAGGACATAACGGATAATTGGAAAATACCACATAACCAATAAATCCACACACTAAAAAATTATCACAGAAAACTACTACATAGGCCACCTCTCAGCCCCAACCCTTAAACTTCTACATTAACCTTCAGTAGAGAGGAAGACATATGTGTAAACGCAAATAGGTGACCTGAGATACCATGTCCAGATACTAACACCTAGTGAGAAAGCAGAGGTAGCAGCATAGATTGAAAGTATCTTCATAACAGTATAAATCATTGCATCTGTTCTCCTAAGGAAATTTGTGCCCTAATGGTTGCAAGAAATCTTTTCAATAACCTCTCTTTAAATTTTATTTAAAGGTAGTAATATGATAAAAATCTTGCCATGAGTTACCTAATGATTAGCCCTCATTCCCTGCACTTCTCAATTTACTTAGATTAAATATTCTTGCCTTATGAATTCATCAGTGTGAATTTCTCATGCATACAGGCATATTGTTCTCCATTCTTAGATGTAACAATAATCTCTATTCCATGATAAACACTGTGCAATTTACTAAAAATTCAATTTTAACATAACTACTTGGAGTATGTAAGCATACTTCCATAGTATAGGGTTTTAAATGGTGGATTATAGGTAAAAAATCCCACTAACTTAACCCCTTTTCATAAGGAAAATTAACAATAGCTTGCAAACTCAGGTTCACAATACGCCAGTAGCATTTAAACCACAGACCCAGTTCAGCACAAAGATATTTGGATTTTACATAAAATCTTGGGTCTTATAACCCATCATGCCCCATGCCTGAATATAAGCAGTGACTGCAGAATAGAATCAGTACCTTCTACCTGTGCAGACCCAGTCTGAGAACTGGAGTACAAATGCAGATCTGTGGCAAGAGTACAGCTCAAAGAATTTCATTGTGCCATTATAACTTCAGTGAGTTTTGCTGAACTGTTATGCCAGTGTGATCCAAGTGATTAGTTTGACTGTAATGTTAAACTTCCTTTAAGTCTATATTTCACACATGATGTGGCTTATATACTTGCCAACTTGAGTTCTGAATGTAGTATTTAGATGGCTGCCTTATCTCATTTTTTAATAACTTTCACTTTTTTCTCCTTATAAAAGAATTTTTTTATTCTTGATATGCCATCTTCTGGTTTTTCATTATTTTCAACAGGTATTTTATCATGGTTCTCACCACAGCAAATGAGAATCTTGCTTTTATTAAATTTTATAGAAATATGTGATTTTTTTCTTCTGATTAATAGTTGCCAAACCTCTTTCAGTTCCTAACAAAACAGAAATAATCACCATCTTGTTACTTTAAAAAAAAAATTAGTAAGGTGTAGTATTGACAACAGAGTTATATGTTCTGCTTTCCTAATTCAGATGCTTTTTTTTTTTCAAAGTTCTACATTTTTTAGGATTAATTATTAACATCAGGGGCCTGAGAATTTTGCTGAGTTTGTGATGTTTTTCTATTCTTGGATTGTGCCTCAGCGTGAAGTCTGATGAAATCCAGGAGTTTCACATAGAGAGTATTTTCAATACTTCTCAGACTAAGAACAAGTAAGTTGGGTTTTTTTAATGCACTGAGAAACTGTGTTGGAACTGGCTACACCTAAGGCAGATTTGGTCTCCTCAATACCAAGTTTCTGTGAGCCTGATATGACTTCAGTGTGTTTCTGAGTGTGATGACTTCACTTCTGTTAAGTTTTCATAAGGACTGTATTTTTCCATTGGTTGGCATAACTGGAAACCGTGGTAAAACAAAACAAACCCCACCCCGCTATTTGGTATCTGAATTAGTAATGTTAAGGTTTATAGCTCTCTGAGAAGCATTGGATAGATATTGCCTACGTTTGCCAAGACAGCACAGATGCAGAGTATGTAGATCTTGTCCTCCACCTCATGCTCCTAGAGGAGCGCAGCTTAATCTGGGAACTACCTCTGTAGCAGCTGTGCTGCAATAAAACCCAGTCTTTATCTGTGCAGGGGGAAAACGTTATCGCAGTATGTCAGTCCTCCTTGGTAGGATCTGCAGAACAAACATTATTTTATACATATATTAGACATAATACTGTATTGTCTTTGCAGCCTCGGCGCCCTGCAGGGAGCCCCTTTGTCCGCAGCAGGTGGGCAGAGGAGCGGTGCGGGGGGGGATGCGTAACAGGCATTGCCTGTCGAGAAGGGGCTGCGGAGCCTTCCTTGTACAGCTCCTTGCAGCACAAGGAAAGCAGGAGCAGGATCCTCAAGATACCACCTTGTCACCCTCACCCCGACCTAGTGTACAGCCCCCCTGCCAACACCCGCCCCCGTCTGTCAAATATCCCCTTCCCCCAGCCGCGGGAAGGGAGGAGGGAGCTGGGGAAGCTGGGGAAGGAGGCGGCTGCGGTTTTTACCCATAGCAGGCGGCCGGTCCCCGGGGCATGAGCGGCGCTACCCGGGTGGGCGGCTGCAGCTGCAGCAGCGACCCGAGGACACTGCCCGCGATCCGACAACACATTTCGCCCAGCGAGGCCGACCCGAAGGGCAGGGGAGGAGACGACAAGAGCCGCCCCGCCTCCCCTCCCATGTCCTCCCCTCCCCGGGGCGGGACGCACCGCCACGCCAAGCTGTCACCCACGAAATGCGCAGGGAGAGGCCGCGGCCGCTGCCCGCGCTCTGATTGGCGGTCTCCGCTGTCACTCAGAGCAGAGCGGGGAGCGTTTGGCGCCTGGGCTGCGGCGCCCGCCCCCCCTCGGCGCTGATTGGTCGCCCGGCGGCGGGAGCTGCGGGGAGTATGGCGCCTGTCCCTCGTCCCGGGGCATTTTCCTCCCGCGTGGCGTGCTCCCTGATCCCGCCCTCGAGCCCCAGATGGGACAGTGCTGCCGCCCAGCGCCGCTCCAGTTGCTCTGCTGCTGGGCTGTGACGGGCAGCGGGGCCCTGTGAGCGCCTCCATCCTCTACGAGAGGCGGAGACCCACGAGAGACAGCACCACCTGCGGGTGTCTGCGGGGGGCAAAGATTCCAGCCCTGGGAGATAACGTGGGACCTGAAGCCGTGGGCTGTGCCTACAGCACTGCCCGGGATGCAAGAAGCTCCATGGACTGTGAGAACGGTGGTCATCTGTGGCTCCAGGTCCCCCTGGAGAACAGCTTCCCCGGCAGCTGGGACAGCGAGGGCAGCTCTGCGGACCGCAGCTCCCCTGTGGTGATGCCTTCAGCACCCCAGAGCCCAGGCATTTCCTCGGCAGGAATCATTACCTCTGCTTCACCAGTGTTATTTGTAGGGCCTGCTTGTGGGGAGCAATACTCATCTCCTGAGCAAGGGCTTTGGCCTGACAAGTGCCTGTACTGATCAGGGCCAGCCACCTCTGGAGCAGCCTGTGTTTGTTCACCACAGCACTTAGTCTTGCTTTCCTCTGGACCTTCTCACAGTGTGCTCACAGAACACCAAGGACACTGACTGCTTTCCCTGGTGTCTGCTTTCCAAGCGTGGAGGAGAATGGACCAGCCTGAGTTACAGCCAGCCAGGCTGATGGTGGAGAAGGTAGTCAGGAACATAGCAGAAAGCTGTAGAGCTGGTACAAAGCTTGAAAGAGACCTAGGGCTAAAGGTCTTCTGCCTTATACTGGATGAGAGGAATTTCCTCAAGACAGGTCAGTGTTACATGTTCACTCCAGCCCAGTGGAAGGTCAGTGACTTTTCTGAGAGAGAATTGTTGTCAGCCTTCCTACCCCATTGCCATATGTGTGCATAGGAGTAATAAGTCTTAGAGGTGAATGACAGTCATAACAAATCCCAGTGCATAAAGAGATTAACTCAACTGTATAAGCATACTGGTTCAGTTTATCCCCTGAGCAGATCAAACTATATATGATTAAAGTCTTTAGGATGGCTAAGTACGAGCAATCCTTCATCAGGACAAGCTGCCTTTGTTCGTTGAAATCTACAAGTGCCTACAGTTTCCTTGGTTCTTAGGCCACTTTCAGAGGCTCATCTTTGTTGTGAGTGTCACTGCCTACATTTCTTTCTGGTGAAAAATGACTGGAGGAGGTGGCTGACTATTCTGTGTTTAGGAAAAAATTAATAGCTTGGTCTACTGATGCACAAACTTAGTTTTATTTTTGAATTCTGCATTTTTCATTAATCAAAAGGGGTTCCTAGCTTATGTATCACTATGAGCTTTCAGAGGGAAAGGTCTCAAACTTGTAACCAATTTCATTCCTGTTAAAATACCTTTCAATCTAATCTTTCTACATATCCCCTACCTACAATGGCTGAAGGAAATGTGACAAATTCTCAGAATGTGTGCTGAGGCATAGGGTAGAAAGGGTTCATTATACAATGTAGGGGCAGAGGAAAAAGTAATTAGGAAGGTAAAACCAGAAGCCCTTCCCAGGTGAGAGAAAAGGGGGTTGAGGAGATTCATGTACCACTTTAGGTTGGGGTGGTTTCAGGTGGGTTAACTCCACTATCAGTGTGACAGAACTTGAGAGGTCCCTCTGTAGAAAAAGCTGTCATGGTGTTGCACAAGGTGTTGTCTCCAGGCCTGCTCTGGAGCACAGGAGACCTGTAAAGTGACCATTCCTCTCCCAAGTGCCTGGACCATGTAACCCCTCCCAAAGGCAGTGTGCTGCTGCCTTTGGGCTGGGGAGAGAAAACCAGCATGGCAGTTGGGCAGAAATGGCATTGGCAAAAGACCCTATTCTGTGTGTGTGTGTAATGACTGACATCATGAGGGGTGGCTCAAGGACAGAGTGGCTGTCTGGGCCCACAAGGCAATGGAAGGAAGACTCTGTCAAGGCTGGATGCAGGTGGTGGATGGTCTGGGGACAAACTGAGTGCTAACGCACTTATTCAAACTGTGTTCAACCTATTTAGTTCACCAGAACATCCAGTCTTATTAATAAAGCAGATTTGTACATATCGGAGCCCCTGGTGGTCTAGTGGTAAAGGCGCCGCGCTATCACCGCGGAGACCCGGGTTCGATTCCCGGTCAGGGCCACTCCCGGGCAGGTGGGGCTCGTTAGCCCTTAAAGGCAACCCACCTACGTCCTAAGGACCTCGCTGCCACCGTCCAAGCTCGCTTGGCCCCGGCAGATGAACCTTAGGATTAAAGGGTGGGCTCAGTTCCGCGCACACTGTGTCTCACCTAAAAAATCCAGTGCGCAGGCTGGAAGGTGGAAAGACCTTCCCCGGATCTTCGCTCGCGAAGACTGGCCATTATTATTATGTACATATCGATGAGCACCTGGGAGAATTCAATATTTCAGCTCAATTATTTCCTCAAAAAGGTTCTCCTCCTAAATTACTGAATGAATGGAGAGAAAAAAACTTTGAGCAAGGCAGACATGGGCTTACTTTTACACAGCCCATGAAAGAGTTGAGAACAACTGGAGCATTAGTTCTCCTGTACACTCCCATAAAATGTTTTTATGTGTCTTATTACCACTGATGGTTCAGGTTCTGGAAACTACCTGTTTCTGGCCCTTGCATGGAAAAGAAAATATATATTTAAAAGCACTGCTTTTAGTAGCGCTGCTCAGCTAGTGATGTGTCCCTGAACACAGGTTTCCCTTTGCCTCTTGACTGCCATGAAATTTTTTTGGCAACCTTGGTGTTGCCCCATCTCTCCACTATGGTCATCTGTACAGACAGAAACTTGCATTTAATGGCAGCCTCTGACCACTGCTGCTGGCAGGATTGCTCTCTAATATCCACACAGTGTTCTGGGGGGCATCACTGCTGTGCTTTCAAAGAAGAACTCATTTGTCAGGGCCACCGAGGCACTAATAGGCTTTAATGGCCATGACCAGCCTCAGCTGGGGTCTCCCCCACACCCTGGCTCGTGGGCCCAGGAGTCTCATTTCAGCTCAGCACAGTGGCATCAGTCCATGTCCCAGCTTTGTTATAGCCACGTCTGTGACTGGTTGGGATCCCCAGTGATCCAGGTATTATGGTAGATTTTGGTTTTTTACCTCATTTTTACCTCATTTATTTCAGCTACTTCTATGAAGTGAAACGTGCTGCTATTTCAAGCCTGTTTTGCTGCTTGGGCTCTTGAGTCTCTTGGATGTTAATTGTTGGAGCAATGTTTTCACCTTAGGACAAAACCTTGTTGCTTCAGCTCCATAAAGAGGAAAGATTTGAGTAGTGATGAATTGCAAAATTCAGGACAAAGATATGAAAATGCTGATGTTTCTGTGATTTGGTATTGGCCTTCCAAACAAGACAGACTGAATGTGGCATGACTTTTGAAGCTGCAAAGTGTAGAGAGTAGCAGCATGTGTTTTTGTAGCAGACCTATTGAGCTACAATATTAGCCAAGTTGACAACAATTGGAGTTATATCACAAAGAAAAGGATGCTTTTTCATAAGCAGAACAGCTAGTAGAAAAAGATCCCAGATATCTTGCCTCAAAGAACATCTCAGACTGATGAAGAAACTAAGACACAGACACGTATTTAATAATTTTCTTCATGTTTGCCTGCATTTTTCTTCTGCTAGTAAAGGATAATTTTCTCCCAGCTCAAACTGTTCCTGCATACCTTTCATATGTTTGTGAATAACTGCATTATAAATCACAAGTGCAAGTGTGTCACTGTGAGATGGTCTTGTCATTTCCAAATTGAATGTGATCTACATTTTGTAAATCCAAGCAGAGTATCGGCATAGTTTCTGTTCAGATTCAGGGCATTCTAGATTCAGAGACATGAAATGACTCCAGATACTCTGGCACAAAAGAAGAAACAGCTTCTCCCTTGGACAGGACAAGAGTAACATTTGAAAGATGGTTCTTGGTTTATTCACATTTGAAAGATGGTTCTTGGTTTATTCATGGAAGGAGTTGTACAAATCTGTATTGATGAACTCAGTGACCCAGATGTCCTTTCCAGCGCTGCATTTATTTCCCTCAACTAATGAGGGGGGGCACAGGAGTTGCAACCTACCATTCAAAATCCAAGCAGTATTACTGGTTTGTTAAGGTGATTAATGTGGATTTTGGTTTCAAACAGCTCTCATCAAGCATCTCTCTGAGCTCTGTAAGCTCTAATGCTTATTATCTGAGAAGATCATATCTGGCAGAAGTTAGTGTCTGTACCAAAGAGATGAGGAAACTGTGCTAAAGAGAAAGGAAGTGACCTACTTAGAGTACTAGCAGAGGGGAAACCCAGCTTAAGTCAGAACTCTGGTCTCCTTTGTTTTGCTCATAGGCAATACTTCCTCCAGCACAGATAACTTCTGCACCCTAGACCCTGTACTGATCCTAACTTTCCCCTTCTCCACAGGGGCTGTACTAAGGAGCTGCACTTTCACTAGCTGTTGTTTTGTGCTGGGGAACAAATGAGCACCAGTCAGCTGACTCCCGATGCTCATTGGTATGCCAGGAGGGAAACTGGCATGCTGCAAGGAGCACTTTCTTTAGTCTGTAGAGTCTGGGATGAGGAAGGGATAGAAAAAAGTGCAATGAGGGCACTAGGATCTAGTGAAGAAAGCCTTCCAAAGGCTAGGTAGCCCTAATATGTCCCTGCTTGTACTGGATGATCCTTCCTATTTTTTTCCTTGTAGCTCCTCACTGTGTACATAGCAAGGCATGCTTTAGAGTCTCAGAGATTCTTACTTTATTTTCCATGTGCCTCCATGCTGAAAGGTGGTTTTCATTTGTTACTGAACAGTGATGAAAAATCAGAGAGAAGTTACACAGTTTGCTAAAAGCTGCTCAGTCAGTCAGAGGTTCTTGTGTATTGCCTCTCCTTGGAAACTGGCCTGAGGAAGAAGAGCTCAGCTGTATGTTGCCAGCTCAGTTTGGCATTCACATACCAAATACTTGTAACAGTGTTCTCTCTGAGTTTTTAACTCAGCATTATTAATTGGTATTATTTAGCAACTATTTTGGAAGGAGTAAAAATTCCTCAAATTTCTTAGCTCCTTGTATGCTGTTAATAAGGGCACAGTAACGAAATTAACCAAATAAATTGCTCTGAATTGCATGGACTCAATCCTCTTTGCATTTAAGAATTTCAGCACGGATTGGCTGCTGTGTAATGATAACTGTAGCTACCAGGTGGAGGTTGTACTTGAGTGGTATTTAATCTGAAGTCTGAAAGCACTTGCTCTCTTAAAATGGAAAAACATAATGTCCTTGTGCATAAGTGGATGAGTTCACCTCTTGTTCTTCAAGGGGAGACTCTGAAGAGGAGCTCTGCTGCTGCAACTCACAGCCTTTTTCTCCCTGTCTTGCACCTCACCCATCCTATGAAGAATGTCTGTAAGGCTTCTGCATTACTGCTGCCTCTGCCCTTGAGGCTGATAGCTTGCCAGTTTGATGTGAAATTACTCTTCTGTCCTTCCTTTCTTTTGCCATGAAGAGTATTGGATTTGTGCCATAATACATCTCTCTCCTTCTTCCTTATCCCCCATTATTTTCCATGCATTTTTGATCTCTCATGATAGGTTGCTTTTCAAAGATCAACTCCATCCTTGTTGTTTTTTTTTTTTTTTTTTTTGAGCAGGGGGTGGGGCACAGGTGGTACATGAAATGAGCAACCCAGTCAGTTAATATTAGCTGATTTCTCTTCTATACTTAACAATTCTGTAAATTTTTAGCTTGGGGAGAGCACTAACTCTTTTCTTTGGACTTCTTGTACACCATTTACTTTCCCATTTCACCTATTGTGTTGAGACCTATAGCTTTGTTTTCAACTATATCCATCTTAAGGAACAAGAGCAGTCTTAATTAAAAGATACCAAGAGGATCCACAGAATCCCTTGGTAGTTTATTCCAGTAGTTAATCATCTTTATTATTAAATACATATTCTAATTTGGCATGCCTGGCTGCAGCTTCCAGGCATTGGGTCCTATTATGTGGTTTTCCACAATATGCTAAAGGGTTTGTCATACTTTTGATTTTCTGCCCAGGAAGCTGAATCTTCTCTGTGATTGAGTTCTGTAAGGGCTGTGCTGAAGGAGTTTGTCTCTAGCTGTCAGTTTAGTGGTTGTTTTCTATATCATCTGCAATGTCACCTGAACTATGAGCACTAGTCTAGAATTGGATTTGACAAAACACCAAAGCTAAAATGACCTTCATTTCCCATGTCCTACTTTGAAGACCTAGGACTGCCCTATGCCTAAGTCTTGTTCTGAAATGCTTCTTGTTTTTGTTCTACATCTCTGTTGTCGTTGTTTCAGAAAATAAGGTCTGGGCTTGCTTTATTAAAGACAAAATGAAGCACTTAATGTATGCCCATTAAATGATCAGCATTCTTTCTGTGTAAAAAGTAAGACAAGGATCTTATGATGGAAAAATTGCATGTTGTATAAGAAAGACTACATATACGGGAGACTTTAAAAAACCAGTAGGGGCGGGGGAATTAATGTAACAATACAGTGCAACTAATGTTAACAGGACATAAATAGACTTTATGATCTTTCGGGAATCTGTTTCATGAAGTAACATAGTAGCTGCTGGCTGTAACTCTCTGTGGACTGACACAGAGAAGACACCCCCTAGTCTATTTCTCTATCTACTTTAAGAAGAATATTTTTTTTTCTTTTGGAAAGTGTATGCTTATTATATTAGACAGGTAAACCATTTCATTTTCTATTACACTCAAGAATTTATATAAAATTTAGCATGTTGGTAAGTGAAAACAGTAAGGCAATGCAATAAATTCTGAGGAATTAAAAATATAAGTATTACTATAGTACATACTGATACATCCCAAGCTATCCCATGGAAAGGAGAGTTCAATGTGCATTAACAATAAATATAGAAATGCTCCACTGTGTGAATGGATGACATGCTCTTTGTATAGATTTCTTCTAAAGTCTCCATTTTGGGGGCCCATTTACACTATTGCCTTGTAGGTTTGAAGATGACAAATATGTTGATGCTTGCTTTGATTACAGTTTCATTTTGATTCCACTAAAATGGTGGCTGCTGTATCAAAGAGCAGAAATCCATTTTAACTACACTTTCATTAAATTATTAGCCTTCTTTGACAATAACACTGAACATTTATGAACACTAATGAAACTTAGTGCTTTAATCTACAGCATAAATAATTACCTGCTCTGAAACATCTGCTGGAAATACCTGTAGATTTGATGGAATAGGAGGTATCATCCTTTCTCGGAAGGGTTTCGCATAATTATTCTTTGGGCATAAAAACTTACAGCTCAGTAATTCTTTCACAGATCTTGCACAATGAGATTATGTCAATATCAGGAAGTCAGAGTGACAAGGAACATCTCCAGATACTGGGATACCGTCACCTACACTACAGAGCTTTTCCAGTGTTCCCCAAAACAACCTGAGTGCTGTGAAGAAGCCTTTGCACAATATTTTGGAGGTTTAAAGAACTTGCTATCCTGGCAGCAGGCTGCAGCATCAGCATGCCATCTTAACCTCAGCACCCAGAAACATTCCCAGGCACATTTAATCTACTAATATAAATGCAGTCCAAGAGATTCAGAAATTAGTGACATTCTAGTCACTATGAGCCCCTACAGTGAGTAGGAGAATGGGTCTTCTGTCAAGAGGTAGGTAATAAGTCACCTTTCCCTTCCCAAAGCTGTTGTATTCCAGAGTTCTTACTTTGGATTGCATACAGATTGAATTTATTTTTTCACTGTTTCATAAAGCAGATAAGAAACTTGATATGTAAAATCTTTTCTACCAAACAGTGTAAAAATCTAATGCAATATTAACTGATAAAATATCAAGTATAGACTTTTTAAGCCAGAAATAGTTTTTGCTTTTATTTATGCTGCTGTTCTGCATAATTCTAGACAACTGTATTTAATAAAAATTATAAAAATATTTGAAAAATAATGTTATTGACTTAAAGCAATTGGCACTTCTGGCAAAATTTAAGAATTGATTTAATTTTCTGTACAAGTTTTTCAAGCATTAAGTCAGTCTTTTGCATATTAATACTCATACTGCTGTGTTGAAATGACATGCTTTTGTTCTGAACTGAACAAGGGTCCCAAAATGTTTCAAGACAGAATGCTGAATCGAGGAATTCTGTGCAACACATTCTCCTTGAATCAATATTTCTATTGCATTGTTGTTGTTATCTTTGGACAATCATTCTATTCAGAAGGAAGATGCTTAATTTATTTTATCCTTTGGAACGTCAAATATCGTGACATAAACTTTTTGATTTACTGAAGGTATTCATTGAAAACTGTTTGGCAGAAAAACTATGTTCCAAAAAGTCTGTGCAAGAAGAATTCCAGAAAGTCTGTTCAGAATTATTTGTTATTGGAAGGTCTTCAGCAAAAAATACCCTCCACTTTCCCACATTTCTCAGTCAAATTATTCATCCTTGATTTGCATCAAACTAGTGAGGAGATCCAGTCTTTGGCAGCCAAAGAGGGCCTTGGCCAGTTTTCCAACTGTAGCACCTTTGGAGCCTTCCCTCATTTCCCACTTAAGCAGCATTTGGTAAACTTTTTCTTTTAGTCCATCTCGTTCATAATCGTGATCAATTTCATCAATCTCAGGATCACAGAAGCCCAGTTTCCGAGCACAGTGCTTCCACTGCTTAGCCAACTTTTCTCTCACTAGATTCAGATGTTTGGCAGTCAGGACAGTAGTATCATCTGCAAGAAGAAGAAGAGTGTAAGAGAAAGGCATTGTCTAACATTTCTTCTGCTCCTTTCGCTATATCTCCTGTCCTCCCCCAGCTATTTATTATTATTTATTATTATTATTATTTTTATTATTCTGTCTGGAGACAGAATCTGAGTGATATAACCAGAAGTGGATTTCACGGAGGCAACATAACCCAGCGATGCCAGGAAAGAAACGCCTGGTCAGAACTTGTGTATTCACAGGTCAGCTGCTGGACTTGCTCTTTGATCTGAAGCTATCATAGTTTGTGACTTAAACCTGCAAGACTGAAAAACCCCTTCCTGGAGTTCTTAAACAGATGTATGGTGTGTTTTATATTCCAGGACACAAATGATTTGTTTACTTAAGAATACACAGGGATAGTTTAATGTGGTAATGACCAATGAAAAAAAATTAAATTTCAAATCTCCCAACTTCTACCTGAGTGAAGTGGTCATAAGTTCTTAGATGGGTTTAACTTTTGGATTTCCCTGCGTGATGTCAGGCACTGGACTCTATGATCTTCATATCTCAGGATATTTAAATATCTCAGGATATTTAAATTCTAAAATTTAAACTGTAAGTCAGGTGAGGACCTCCAATTCTAGCCTTGCTTTTACCAATTTGAGTGTTTCATACATTCCACATCAAATGATTCTTGGATAATTACATGGGGAGAATACATGAAAACTAGGGAGATATTTCTCTTACCAAATATACCCATTGCTTCATATTGTCTATAATTTGCTTCTGTAGCAGCAGGAGAAGTGCTGATGTGCTGATTCTGCTCTTCAATCTTCATGTAGTTGTGGGATCCAATTTGAATTCCAGAGCTGTTACTAATGTTGTACTTGATTGAGTCATCTGTATAAGGGACTTTAATACAAATTTATAAACAACTGCATGTGGTTCAAAATGTCAAGAAGTAACATAAGGAGAAAGAAGGTTCTACTAATAAGGGAAGTGATTAAATATTTTCATTGCATTAATGTAGAAATAGCCATTTAGGCCAACTGTGAGTGTATTTTCACTATGCAGTGTGGCACAAGTGTACTTCAGTGAAAGCCCAGTCTGTTCTATAACAAAGTGCCATAACCAAGCTTTACATGCTGGTAGTGACTAGACTGTAAATAATGTTCCCTGCGCTTTGGAAATGCGTAGCAGCAGTCTCACTTTCTGTTGGCCAACAGCTTCAGGGGGTCAGCCTTTACTTGAATGCTTTTTTCTTTTAAATCTCAAAGCTTCACTTCTGCATCTCAGCTTTACTTTTCATAGATGTAAGTTCAGGTTTACAGTTATGACTTTGAAGTTCTGTGAGACTACAGTAAATCATTTCCTGTTGCTCATAAGAAGTGATTAGTTAAACGTGTAATTTGGTCTTTTGCTTACTCTTGTCTGATTTCCACACATAACATGAAACTAAGTCACTATTCATGTTGGGTGACATCAGTTTTCTATTTTCTTGACAGTGTTTTCTGAACTCTGCTTGGATAATCAAACATTAAACATTCTAACTCTAGTTTAAATGGTGAATCTCACAACCTGGGTCTAAAATTGAAGTACAGATACTTAAAATGATACTCCAAACTCTATATTTAATCACACAGAATTATGGTTAGATGCTCAAACGTTCTTGTTGCACACTCAACTGCAATGTGAAATGTGGAAATCTATGGTTATGTTATGTATAAAAATCTAAGTGCACTTAATTTTTGTTAACTGGAGGCTGCAAGTCAGAAATACTTATATGTATGCATGATTAGTTTCTAGAAGTTACAAAAAAAGGAATGCATTTTATGCCAGGGGAAGTTTAGGTTAGATGTTAGGAAGAAATTCTTTACAGAGAGGGCAATCAGGCATTGGAACGCCCTACCCAGAGAGGTGGTGGATTCACCATCCCTGGAGGTTTTTAAAAAGAGATTGGACATGGCCCTTAGTGCCATGATATAGTAATTGGAGTTGGATCAGGAGTTGGACTTGATGATCTTGGAGGTCTTTTCCAACCCAATCTATTCTATGATTCTATGATTCTATATCTCATAATGTTATGATTCCTGTAAACTTTTCCTTTTTTAGCTAAAAAAATGAAGAAATCTCATATTTTTTCTATGTTCTTACCTGGTAACAAAATTAATCTAGAATGTACAAAATGCTTTGTCAATATTAACAGCAAAACTTCCTGTGCTTATAAATCTCCTTTCCCAAGTCTCTACACTTTGCTGCTTGTCATGGTTGGGTTATCATCTAAAGACTCTAAGGCGCCCATAGTCAAGAAGACAGAAACCTGGTGTTTCAGGTTTTCTTTGTAGGTGTAGACCATTTATAAACTGGACAAGCCTTGAAAGGGTTAATTAAAGAGTTCAGGGTGCCCCAAGCAACACAACTTGAAAGAAGCACATATTAGCAACTCCTGAAGGACATAACACAATTTTAGGGGTTCAAGACAGTTGAACTGTAGAGACCTGTGCCCCAATGAAGGCTGATCAGCATGAAGCCTGCAGCTAGAGATTTGTATTAAAAATCCAGAGCAAGATAGGACAAAGTGTCCCAAATGTGTGTGTGGTTCAACAGTTGGGCAGAGTCACAGCAGCTTGATGCTTAATCTAAGAAAGTGACTAGTTTAGGTGTGCAGGAGATTTTGCAATGCCTTCATGGTTTTAAAAAAAGTTCTTACATAAAAGAAGATGTTGTCCTTGATTCATCTTGTTTAATGGCATGTATAGGTTCTGCTAGAGACAGGAATTAGTTTTACACACTGGTACTGATAACTTCAGCTATGGTTAGAGGTATTTAGCAATAACATATATATTTCAAGTTCCTAAATTTTTTGTTTTGCTGGTCAGGATGCAAAGCAGGTTGGCTCCCAGGACAGATGAAGGCTACAGCACTTACCCGGGCTTACTCCTGGTGAGCTAGGATAATATGCAAAAGTTCCCCTTGTGAAAGAAGTGGAATCCTTGTTACCTAAACAAAGAGAGAAAACAAAAAAAAATGCCAAAAGCATTATGTAAATAAAAAAGCAAATGTACTTAACAATGGCTGCCATATTTGCAACAGTGTGAGTACACAGTGCTCTCAAATACAGAGCGATGTGAAGTTTTTTCATTAGCAGGATTGTATCTGCTCAAATAACTCTACTTGAAGCAATGATGTCATTGTGGTTTTTGCTCGGTGACTAATAGCCTTAACCATCCTTGGATCCCAGTGAGGGCAATGGGCTTCCATGTGGGTGTATGGATACCTGGCGGTGTGGATCACAGCACGCTGAAGTTATGGACTGAGCTGCCTTGTATCAGGTGTTCCAACTGGAAAATTGCAAACCCTCAAGCGTGCTCCTGTTGCTTAGTGCTGAGATTGACTGTGGTTTATATTAGCACACAGCTTGTGACCAGCTCTAGCAAAGGCATGGGACATCACTGCATCTTTGTTGGTGGCAATACTATCTGGCAGAGATGTAACTTCCAGCCCAGGGATGCTCACAGATGAGCTCTACAACTCAGGGCAGCAAGGGCAGCTGCGTTACAGTCACCCAACAAGTCAGTGGAAGAGCCGCAATGCAGCTCTTCTGCATCTCGGTCTGGTATCTGCTACACTGTTTCACACACCCTCCCTACAATAACTGTTTTCCTTATTCCTTTCAAACAGAAGGTTTTCCTTTATTAGTGATGTTGAGAGTTCTAATGCCTGCCTTCTGACATGACAGCTCTCAGATTCATTTCTGCAAATAAACTCAAATAACTAACTAATCAGAGTCTCTGCGCAAGTAATGTAATAGAATAACACCTTTGTGGCATTCTGCTTGTAAAAAGCTAGGCATTCTTTATTTCATTTGAAGTTGACAGCCTGAAATCAGTGAAAGCAGCTTAATGAAGTCAAAGCTAGAGTGTTTCAGAGAGATGAAGTAACTTCAGATAAACAGAGAATTTAATGAAATAACTTCACCTTTGCTATGGGTTGTTCCTTAAGCTGCAAAATGCTCTTGACCACTTCATTGAATAGAAGAAACGTGAGTTTTCAGAAACACAGGTGTTGGGGAAAGAGGAATCTCACCTGTATCTGTGTCTGAATTCTTCAAATACCGGTTTACGCTGGATTGTGACTGCAGGTTTTGGCCAGATTCCGGCACAGGAGTTTTACTTAGGCTAAAGTTGCTGGCTAAACACAATCCATAGAGATCCTCTGGGTTTCCTGTTAGAAGACTGTTATGGTTTGGCCCATAAAAAACTGTTCCCGGGTTTGCTGTTGTTGCAGCTGCCCGTGACCAGAAGTTTGGATCAGGGTTTGGCCGGACATATGGATTAGTGTTTGATCCTGCCTGAGACCAGAAATTTGGATCGTGGTTTGACCAGACATATGGATTAGTGTTTGATCCTGCCTTTGACCGGTAATTTGGCTCGTGGTTTGACCAGACGTATGGGTTAGTGTTAGACCCTGGTTTTTCAGCTCCTGGATGCAGATCACTCTTCTGGGAAGCAGGAGATGGCTTTGCAAATGGATCGCAGGAAACTCTCCGTCTCCTTTCTTCCTCTATCATTTCAGGGGTGTATAGTACAGGTGGAACTGCTTTATCCATCCGGCTCCCGAATACATGATAGTTATATTCACACTGAAGTTTTCTTTCTAGATCATCAGCAGCCACAAATGAGGTCTCACAGCTCTCAACAGGCTGGTTCTCGGAGGGGGCAGCAAACAGGGCTTCATTAACATGGCTGGTCTCGGGACCTTGGGAGCTGTGTAGAGAATTAGGCTGATCTGAAAGGGAGGAAAATTAGATGTTTGGAGAACATCTGAATTCAACCTGTTGCAATGATACTAGAATCTATTAACCTACCTTTATTCTTATGGTATGTATAAGAGGTGAAAATATAACATTACTCTCAGCATAAGGCATTCTATAAAATAAAACACAGCTTTACTGGTGAGTATAACAGGTTTTTATCTAGAAGTACAGATTTGTTTAGGCTATAAGTGTCAAAATCTCACTCAAGTGGTGTGAGAATTCACTGCACACTCTGCTTATATTGAAATTAAATTTTCAGCCACTGAAACAAACATTCCTGAAGGCATTTGCAGGGTCTGATTTACTGACATGTTGCCACTAGCATAAACTGGAGCTTAATCAGTGCAAAACTGAAGTGTAACAGGATGGAAAATAACACCTCTGTAATAACAGGTATAACTTCATACAGCACAAATAATTTGTCACTAAAATCTTATTTAAAAATGATTATGTAAAATATCCTGTCTGGGTATTTCGTGATGAATACTTTTGTCTAGTTTATTCTATATATATATTTTTTACAAGTAATGTCTACCAGATAAAATAGTCTGTGTCATCTACATTTTTCAAACTAATTCTCAATATCAAAAGAAGCTTTACTTCAGTCTTGAACCAGATGGAGTATGATCTGCTGCAGCATTCCAGATAAGAATGTAAAAATCTGCTTGTGGTAACTTGTACTTATATTTTTAAGGGTAAGACCACAGATGCTTTCTTCAAGTTCTGAAAGCTTTACATTTTTCTAGAAAACATTTTACAGTGCCTAAACCACGTGACTCTTACAAATCACTCAAAATTGGAATAAAATGTATGTATGTGCTTCTATTTAGCTCAGATAATGCCAGTGATTTTTTTTGTGTTATTCAACCCCCCCCAAATTACATGATTTCAGGCCATATTAGGCAAGACCAAAATTAGCTCCTTTTGATGGTTGTATATTAGTACACCTTCAGTCTGACTTGCTCTGCTCCTTCTATTGCCATTGTTGGAGAGGGAGTGGGAGGAATAAGCTAATACAGAAATAACCCCATCAAAAGAGATAGCTATTAGCAATTCAGTATTAGCATAAACGATACGGCGTCTGTTCTCCAGGGAAAGCTTGAGATGTATGAACAGATCCTGTGGGATGCCTTTCACTACCACTGTCTGAGTAATGCCCATTGATAAGAGAAAAAAAAAAAACAACTTTGACTGACAGGCTGTCAAGATAGCATCTTTCTGCAGTGTAGATTCACAATAAAGCTTTTCATACTTAAATCACAAGAGCATCTGCGATTTGCAGCAGTGATACCTGATTGTTTCTGCTAAGCAAGTGTAACTCTGCTCATGTAAAAATACAGCAGTGGGGCTGCCCCAAGTCCATCAGTTCTGCTGAGGAACAGTTATGGCAAACCCAGGTCTGTGAAAGATTTATTAGTTTCACATTACAGTTTAACATTACCCATTTAATAATGTCTTTCAAGTAGACAAGTGAGCTAATGTAGCAAAATTTTATTTCTACTGAGTTTTATATTATTTCTTGTAAATCAGTGTTGCAAATAAAATCCTATGTCCTTTGACATTAGGAAACTTTGGTTAAAGAATTCCGGATACACTGCTACAAAACTCTATCATTATACATATTTGTGAGACACATCTATAAAATCACAAAACATGCAACTCATCCAAGACTTGATAGAAAATAGGAGAGGAAGGAGAGAAAAATAATCCATTAGTGCTCCTCAGATTCCTTTGAAAGCAAGTTAATAAACAAAGGAATATGTTACAATTATGCATCCTGGTTATATTCAGAGCATTCATAAGAAAGGATGGAGTAAAAAAAAAGAGTAAATTAAAGCCTGCAGAGCAAGCAGGCATAAATAAAAGGATGGGAAGAAAGACGAAGTATGAAAAGTAATCATCACGGTGACCATTGAAAAGTCTAATATTGAACAAAATTTTCAGTGTGTAAGATGAAAGCAGAAGACTGTAAAATGAAATGGGTTTGAACTGTGGGTGATGGAAAACTTAAAGTAAGTATGACTTCTGGGAAGAAATTTAATATTTTCGGTGATTACAATTCTTTCTGAAGTGCTGAATAATTGAGTTTCTTCATAACCCCTTAATGGTAAGGTTACTTGCTTTGTACACAACTTTATCTTTGGCAAAATACACAGAATAATTACGTGCTAGTGACTTACCTACTTCACCATTACTGCTATCTTCTGGTACAGCATCTATTTGGAGGGATTCCATTCTATTCAGCAGTTCATTTGACTCAGGCCACATTTCCTGCATGTGAGAAAGAACAAATGATCAAGTCATAGGCAAAAGCTTAACTAAAGGGAGTAGAACCTGCAGAACAAGTTTAGAGGAAGTTTTCAGGAAGAAGCAGTACAATTTCCTTTCTGTAAACACTCATCCTCACTTCACTATAAAGAAGGCAAAATCTATTCCTGTTCTATTCTTGTAATGTTCCCATTATTCAGACTTAACTGGAAATAATTTTTTTTAACCTGGAAAAATTATTTCACAAATTCACCAAGTGCTTCTTACTTGTAAAATAATTTCCAAAAGTAGGGTTTGTGTTTGTGGGGTTTTTTTTAATTAGTTAAACCCAAGCAGTACTTTAACAGATTAGAGGTGAACAGCTCCTATCTATCCCTTCCCCAAAAAAATCAACATCCTTCCAAAAGCAAAAGGTGACATTCTAAAGCACATTTTAACTGTAGGTCCTTGGATTTTACATGAGCAATTGAATTGCTTGAGGAGGGGGATGTTGGATCAGATGACCTCTGATTCTCTAATTCCCCTCTGGTCCCTTTCAACCTCAACTGTTCTGTGATCCTTTTAGTTAGGAGGCTGTGGACTCTGCTTGCATGATTGCTGGGGAGGAGGGAAGGGAAGTTGTGCCCAAACCCTCTAACTCATGTTGCTACTGAAGCTGTACTAGTAATTCACCATATTGACTTGACTTGCATGCTCTATTGACATTCTCTGCCCTGATTGTAATGGATGCTTTCCTTCCTGAGAAAGTAATAAACTCACAGCCCATTTTCTAAATAGTCATTGTCTCCCTATGACTTGAAAGGTACATCTGCAGAGAGCTAAGGAAGCTAGTACAACTGGCCATGATCCCGATTTGGGGCTGCTATCATAAATTAGACATATACACTTCACATTGTAAGTCTGGTCAAATAGTCCAGGAAATCTGTTTCATCAGTCTCATTTTGCAAAACTTTGTTGCTTTTTTAAACAGTCGCTGTTGCTTTGTAAACATCACATGAAATGAGAAACTTTCATTACCACAATTGAAGACTTGGTGACAGAAGGAAGCACTTTTAACTGTTCTGAGCCTCACTTCACAGCAAAGGAGTGAATGCCAGGAATTGTCACCAATAGCTGTCAGTACTAGTGAAGTGAGTAAATTTGTAAAATCTGTTATAAAAAGGTTCCATAATCAGCCTAACTGTTCAAGAAGTTCTTATTCTCAGTAAGGAAATTATTATTTTTACCATAATTTATAAACTTACAGTCAGAAAAGTAAGAGAAACCAACTTGGACACTCAGGAAAACCACCTGAACTTAAATTTTACCTGTGGTACAGCTTCCTGGTCTCAAGCAGGCTGAGACCAGGCTCATTAAACACTGCCTGAATACAGGACAAAAATTACCAAGAATTTTAAAGGTTACTTTAAATCAGGTTCTGCTACTTTTGAATTGCTTGGAATAACATTTTATTTTATCAGTGAGAATTAATGGATATATGAGGAGCTTTTGCAAAGTATCATCATAGAATCAGTGTGTTGTTCAGGTGGAAATTGACCTTGGGGGACCTTGGGCCCAACTCCTGCTCAAAACAGGCCATAATTGGGGTTGGGAAGAGGGGATGTCAGGAACTGACACCACAAAATGCTTAGAAATTTACTCACTTTTAAATTCTTCAGATCTTCTTCAATATCTTTTCCTAGATTTTGGTTGTAAAATGGCTTGTATCTTTCACTGATTTCTGCAAAAAGAAAATAACTAAGTGAAAGTGGGTTTCAATGGAAAATAAAAGTTACATACTGTTAACAATCTTGATGGGTAAGGATTGAATAAAGACTTCTATCATGTCAGAAACAGCAAAGTTATACATCTATTTGGAATTTGTTCACATGGTATATTTAGCCTTAAAACAGTAACAAGAACAGGATGACTTCCAGGGATTTTTGTTGTTGTTGTACTTCTTTTTAGGGTGAAATCTCTCTGTATGTGACCTGTAGCTGAGAACACCTTTCCTTGACTTGTATATGGGAAAATTAGAAGCTAAGACCCAATACAAGCATAAATGTAATCTATTAGCAGTAGATTATGTATGTTAAATATGGAGATAGTAGGTGGTTTCCTCCTGGTACACAAATTTTGTCTGAGTATTTAAGTACACTCCTGCTGTATATGAAGATGTTGGTGCCCCTGTCTAAATACAAACCTCAGTTTCCTATTATATGTTGGGGTTTTCTTTGTAGGTTGTGGGTATTTTTGTTATTTTGGAGTTTTTTGTGTCGGCTTTTTTTTTTTTTTGACACTATATATCGAGATAGAAAGAAGAAATGAGGAGACATAGGATTTTGACTTATTTCCTGAATGCTCTTATAAGTTCTCCTTCCCAGATCATTCAGCTAAGACTTCTACTGACTGCAAGTTTTTTGGGATCTGACCATACGAAAGGATGATGAGCTAGTCAAAGTCACTTGGATTGCTTATGGAAGAATTACTAGGACAACTTTTGAATCTACAATATTTTTAATAGGATATTTTCTCAGTCATAGTCAAGCTATACTACATCCCTTGATGTTAGGTTTTCTAAAAATTTCAGCAGGAGGATTATATTACACTGAAGAGAAATTATCATCAGGTATAAAGTGTCATAGCTCCATCCACTCACTAGTATTCCTCAAATCTGTAAATGCTTGTACAGGAAGCATGCTTTACAAGGTATGTGAGTTGATATTTCGGTTTTCAACGAAAAAAATTATATTTGAAGAGGAAAACACTCAAGTTTGTTTTGCTCCATTGCAAACTATTGATGGACACAATCGATAAGAATCCTAACAACCAAAACAAAAAGAATCCTAAAGCAATGCCTTACCTGCAAAGGTTGGCCGTTTATCTGACTCTTGCTCCCAGCATTGTTTCATTAAGTCAACAATTTCCACTGGACATTTATCAGTGATCTCCTTTAAGTCTGGTCTGTTTCCATTCATGACGCCAAAGCAAATCTGGGCTTCATTTATACCATCTGAAAAATAACACTTCCTATCAGATCCTGATCACAGGTTTTGCTACCTTTCCATAGGTAAAAGAAACAATGAAGCAGCTCCCTGTGTGTTTGTGGATATGTAAAATATGATTTCAAAGATGTCCAAGTTACATCTACAGATATTTCATATTAGTGAATTTGAATCCACTGCCCTAACTTCCATGGATTAGAGATTTATTTTAAGATTAGTGGATTTACTTTTATATGTAAGACATGCCCAGTGTGAGCGAGGGTGACAGAGCTAGCTCCCTGGAACCTACATCTTGCTTATGCTCTGCACTGGGTGTGAACACAAAGATGGCCACATACGTAACATTTAGCCATTTAGTTAGCAAAAAATCCATTCAAATTTATAAATGCATTACTCTGGAATTCCACAGTTGGCTCCTATTTTCTATATAAGCACATTAGTGCATGTTGAGAAGTTAGCACCACGCAGCTGAGAAGTGGTAACTGTGTGTGATCATTCCTGGTTAAAGAGAAACCACACGTAACTAGTCCACCTCATGACATAGTGGACATCAAAGTTTCCATTCTGGCCCACATGAGGTTTGTCTAACTTCTGCCACTGAGTCCAGTTTGTGCCCACACCACCAAGTTTCAGCTGACACCTGCATTTCATTCAGATATTCTTGTTCATGCTTAGGAGTCAGGAATGATGCAATTAATGCCTCTTGCTGGCCATGAGATGCCAAACAGGCCTCTTTTAGGCCTTGGGTGATTTAATCTACTAATCTTAATTTTATAACTTTAAGTGCTTAACATTTGTAACTTCATTTTGTGGTGGCATCCTTTTGGAAGTAACTTACTTTCATATGGTTCCTTGTTAGCAAAAATTGCCCAGATCACTATGCCAAAGCTGTAAACATCTGATTTTTCCACTGGTTTTGCATTAACACTGAGTAAATGCTCTGGGGCCATATAGAAAAGAGTCCCAGCATTGTTCTGGCAAGTGCTCTTGATTTGCTTCTGTCGGACAGTTTCTTCTTGGGTTAGCTTACTCCAGTTCTTAAAGGAGGCAACACCGAGGTCTGCAATCTGAAAAATGAGACATGTCAGAGCTAGTGCTGTAATGAGGAAGAGAGAAACAAGTATTTCATGCAGTGCTCAATTTTACAATTATTAATAATAAGATAATAACTTACCTAAAAATGAAACACTAGAAAAGATGCAACTAAAAAAGGGAAAACAAACTATTTGCTTTTTTTGTTTTGTTTTGTTTTTCTTTGGTTGTTTTGTAGGTTTGATTTGGGTTTTTTTCCTCAATAAAGTATCACTGCCAACTGGGAACCATTAGACTGAACCTTTATTATTAATTTAGCCTCACTTGGAACAATTGCACAGTTAGATAGAAGAGATTTGGTTTTGCTTGTATTGACAGTCATGTTCGAGGTCTGTCTGTGGGACTTGTGGGAGAACAGAAATGCATATAAGAAGAAGCTAAGATTCAAATATAGAAGCAATCTATGAGATGGGCAGATATCCATCCTCCCTCACTGCCCTTTCCATTTAGATTCCATTTAACTCAACTTCCTTAGATCTTCCTACACAAAAGAGGAAGAAGGGGAACTAAACCAAAGCGATGTGTATGACAAAGAGACATGGAAAAGGATAGCATGGAATAAGTTAAAGCAGGGATACCTGGGTACTGTGTGTTTGACAAAGTGACATTACCAAAACTTTAGGGTACAGTTTTGCAACTAGAATAATGGCTGCTGATGAAGAAAGAAATCCTTCCTTACTTTCCCCAGTCTCCTATTATGTGCTCCCTCTGCTCCTCTTGTTCCAGCACTGACACTTATCTGGGAAGAACTAGTGCAAGGCACGCAACCAGCTTGCTGAACAAAGTTCTCCCCAACAGAAGGGTAGCACTGCCAACAAGGTAAATGGTAATCTGCTGGTATGGCTTCCTAAATCAGGACAGGGTGATCAGATTAGTGCCAGTGCTAACACAAGGGAACAGAAGGTCAACAGAAGAGGAAAAAATGAAAGAAAATGAGACTGTCTCCCTTGGCCACAGGCAGCTGTCAAACAGAGCTGTGTAACCCAATTACTTCAAGTGAAAACTGAGATGATATCTTGCCTCACTTTTAACTCACTTTTCCTTTCTCTCTTGTTGTCTCTAACTAGCTTATTATTCTTCTTGTGTTTCTGAAGCTTTGGGCTGCATTTTGAGGTCATGTATTCAGAGGAAAATGTAAGTGACATGCTGCTGAGGAAGTAGGAGTCCAGATTCATGTCTGAGAGGAGGTTTAATGTGATAGAGGAAGATATAAATCTTTCTACATTTGCAGTTTCCTAGAACAACTATTTCCTTTTCTAAATATTGACAGTGTTAAACACATTTAAACAGATGGCTTAACAACAGCTGCCTTAAATGATACTTTTGATCAAGCTGCTTAAGGAAGTCTGATCTGATTCTGAATTTAATCTTGGGTTCCACCTCAGTTTGTCATGTAGTGTGATGATAGCCTGGTTTGGTCTGGTCCATAAAAGCAACCTGAAACCCCAAACCCCATCCAATTTTTTTGGGGAAAAAAAAAATTTTTTAAAAAATTCTTATCTGCAAACTGCTCATACTGGTCAACATATATTGTTACTATATTTACCTTGGCAAACAACTCACTCATTTATGTGTGAGAAATAGAAAATGACAGAGCTCTCTTCACAGAAATTTATTCTGTAGTTTCAAACTATAATGGGGTGGTTATTTCAACAACTCACCTTAACCAGAAACAGGATATTTGATGAGGACTGCTGCATATTCCACTCAGGTTTATTCCGCAGTAGCCTCTACATCTATATGTCTTGATACAAAACCCCTCTAAAATTAATAGAAGGGCTTTGGAACAGGCTTCTAAGCCATTCTTTGAAGTAGTGTCCTGATGTTTTTTCTTTTTGTAGCTGCTGGATGTCATTTTAAAAGGATGACTAAAGAAAAAAAGAGGGATACAAAAGAGGAAAAGATAATAGCCAAAAGACGGAAAGAAATAAAGAGGAGGTAAAGGCAGGAGGAGAGATTACAGCAATCTAGGACAAAAGACATGATCCATAAAATATTTCATTTTGTTTCAATCTCTGTGTTAATGTTTGTTTTACTTTTCTAATTGTTTTGTTATTTGTAGCTCATTAATTCTCAACAATATTATTTTTTTAATGCCTTTAGTAATTTTTTTTTTCACAGCTGGGGGAATACTCTGCAAATCTCAGACTCAGAGGTTGTTGAGGCTACCATACTTAGTGAATCATGGCTAACACTCTTTTAGTGACACTCTCGTCATGATAGCTCACTAAACTACAAAGGAGTTCATCCTACTAATGTAGGAACACTAAGCAGTGCAGCTGAACTGCATTCTTCAACCCATATCACCAGCTTTCTCCATTTACATTTTAACAAATACCTTAATGTGGAAGTCTCTGTCCACAAGAATGTTTTCTGGTTTTAAGTCTTTGTGTACAAAGCCTTGCTCATGCAGATAAAGCATTCCTTCTGTGATCTCCAGCACAAAACGCCCTTTCACTGACAAAGGTAGTGAGAGCTAAAAGAAAGAACAAGAAATGCCACCTATTAAAAAATGCAACTACAACCATCAAATTGAAGCCCAGTCTTTAGAAAAAGTTTCCTTCTCAGTCTCAAGAGTGCCTCTGCTCAAGCTATGGCAAAAAACTGCATTGCCAGCTGGTCAAGGGAGGTGATCGTCCACTCTACTTTGCACTGGTGTGGCCTCACCTCAAGTCCTCTGTGCAGTTTTGAGCACCACAATATAAGAAGGATATAAAGCTACTGAAGAGCATCCAAAGGAGACCATCCCAAAGAAGATGGTGAAGGGTCTAGAGGAGAAGCCATATGAGGAGTGGCTGAGGTCGCTTGGTTTGTTCAGCCTGGAGGAAACTGAGGGAAGACCTTGTCATAGCCTACAGCTTCCTCATGAGGGGAAGTGGAGGGGCAGGCACTGTTCTCTTCTCTTCTCTGTGATGAGCTTTCTGGGAGAATGGCATGAAGCTGGATCAGGTGAGGTTTAGACTGGATATCAAAAGGTTTTTCACCCAGAGGATGGTTGTGATTTTTGGGGTTATCCTGTGCAAGGCCAGGAGTTGGACTTGATCATCCAACTCAGGATGTTCTATGATTCTAAGGCCCTTCTTGGACCTAAATTTGGCATTAAAGTAACTCTATAGTCACTCCATATTTACAGAAGCATTGTTCTTTAGAAAATTCTCCACATATCTCTACAAACCCTTCTATAACTTTTTAACCTGTAACTGATCTGCTCCTCTGTGATGCACAGGAAATGCCACTGGCACAGGATGCCACTGGCTTTTTAATACGAAAGAAGAACGAAAAAGTAACGACTCCATTCTCTGGAGATGGCAGTAACATCCTGTCCATTTCATGCACCTTATCAGCCCTAAGGAATGAAGTAATTGACTGCTCACTTGCTGTAGCACTTTCATCATGTTCCCCCGGTCCACATACTCCATCACAAGTGAGTAGTTTCCATCTTCCAAAATGATACCCAGTAGTTTTACCACACGGTCATGCTGCAGTTTGCGCATTATCCTGCCTTCTTCAAGGAGGGAAACATTGTATCTGTAAAACACAAATTACACTGAATTTGGGTGCCAGACTAGAAAGAACACAGGGATGAAAATTACATTGACTCATAATGAAAACAATCGCCAAAAATGTCAACATCCCTAGAGCCCTTGTAAGATTAACCATAGCTTCAGCTGATTTTTAATTGATACAGCTTTGTTCAGGCCAGATTGTATTCTCTAAGACTCTGCTCTAATGCCTTACACAGAGACTGTCTGCTCAGCCTGATTTTAAGGCCTGCTTTTCAGAAAGTCCATAAGCATTCTTTTTATAGGTGCACTGCTCGTTATGTATGTCCAAATCTTTGAACAGGGGTGGGATCAGGGTAGAGCTGAAAGAGCCTTGGGATAAGGAGGGTCAAGACCTTCTCCACTACCTCTTGTACAGGAAACTCAGAGGTCTCATTTTTGAAGGGCTGGTATTCACGTCCATGTTCAAAATGCATTTATTATAAGGAATCCACCCACACACTGGATGATAGCATTTGCTAATAATTACTATTTAATAATTACTATTTAATAATCATTATTTGCTAATGAGTTCAGAGCCCAGCTCTTTACCTGGGCCTCAGTACAACCCATCAATAATCACAGATATATAGCTGGGAGTTCACCAAGGGTGCTAAAAAAGGATAGTATCCATTATATAATATAGAAAAAAGGGTGGTATTTTTACTATTGCTCCTGTTCTAGTCATCAATCAAAAGGATGTAAGAAAATCTTGAAACTATATTGCTTGCTAATGCTTTCCTACCCTGTGACTTAAAAGGAAACTGCATTTTCTCTCTGTATTCTTCCACAGTAGGAGGAGAACTGATTGTTTTGTTTGCATTAGACTCAGTTAAAAAATATACTAAAGAATTTTAAGGATTGACAAAATTATGAGCCTGTGTAGTGAGAAAGTAAAAACACAAACCCAAAAATAAACTTGACAGGCTTGTCTGTTTTAACTGTGTTCATCCCAAACTGTCATTGCAGTCAACAAACTACTAAAATCTCTTAATTTGCTTTCCACTGGCAAAATAAAAACTCAGTTTATTTATTATAACCCAAAGTAGAAAGAACGAGGACTTTTGTCTCTCTCTAGGGGATGACTCATGAGAGAGCTTCAGGATTGTTATAGCTGTGAGGTAGCAGAGCTGCAAAGTGACCTGAATCCACTGAAATCAACAGCTAATTCAGTTCTTGAATTAAATCAGTGGGCTTGGCTCATTCTGCTTTTTTCTCAAGGGAGAAGGTTCCATTCTTCATATTATACATGTGGGGTTGGAATCCTGCTGGTAGTTTATATGTGTTTAATTTCTAGTGGACATCTACATTTAGATAACTGTATTGTAAACATATCTGGAAGTCTGAAAATATCATGTGGCCACTGAGTTCCTGCATTTCCTTAAGTGTGCAAGAGTCCTCTTGATTCTTAACAATTCACAATAGTGATCCCCTCAAAATGAAAAACAGGAACTTGACTTGAACAATAAGCTAAAATTTAAAAAGTTATCTCGTGAGGGGAAAAAGGAAAATTTGCATGACAGCTGCTAGCATTATCTTATTTGCCCCATATACAGTATCTCCAGAAGCCAAAAATCCGAAATTATTACACTCTATTTAGATTTATCTCCACTGAGTTTAGAGGACTTACACTAACTGAAAGATAAAAAATCAGAACTGAGATGTGAAACTTACTCAGTGCGCTGTGGTCCTGTATACACTTTTTTTAATACTACATATCCATGTTTCTTGTGCAAGCATAAAGAAATTGTTCCAAATCCTCCAGCATCTAATTGTTTTTGTTCAAGCAAATCCTGGGTGTTCATGTGGATGTCTTCCAGAGACATGTTTGCAGTCTTTGTGGCTTAGCAATGAAAACTCAATCAAGTACCCTAGTGCTTCTGGACCTGTAGTATATAGGAGGAAAAAGAGGTGTCATGATCAGGCATTTAGCTGTTCCACTAAATAAATCTATGTGTAAGGAGTGGGACAGAAGCATAAACTCTTGTGACCCTTATAACCAAAGGGCCTCAGTTGGAAATCAAAGATGCCTTGGTTCTTGCAGAATCATACCTAAAGATCACAATGATTTATCCTGACAATCCACTACAGTTATATTAAGTTGACGCAAAACCATTTCTTCACCTGAGGATCTCAAAGCGCTGTTAATAAATAGTTTTTATCCATATAATATGCAGTAGATGGGTACTGTCCCTACATTTCATATGTTCGAAACCCAAAACCTCAAAAAATCAAGGGCTGCAGTCCCAAAGGCAGGTAGTGCCCAATAATTTTGATAGGTATTTATTTCAAATTCTAAATTGCCTTGACATGGGCCTGTCAGGTGCCCAGATACTTATAAAACTCTAAGCTATGTTTTAGACATCTTTGAAAACACAGCTCTAAAGAGTTTGCTCGAAGTGCAAACCAAGCAACTAAACAAAAGTTTTCTCTGGAGGGTGAAATGAAGAAACCCAGCTTCTGTGGGAAAATTATTTTCACAGCTGTCTGAATTTAAGGAGACAAGTGCTAGGAAGGAATTTGGTGGGGTGCATGGCAATTTCTCCTCCAGTCCTCAGAAAGAAGAGGAACAAAGAAATTTTGAAGGCCTGTAGTAACTCTTAAGTGTGCATGAAGACAAAAAGAGTGTTTGGGAATCTATGAAATGGGTAGATGAGTAAATAAACCCCAGTGGATGCCAGACTAATTTCAAGCCTCTAGTAAAGCTGCAATGCTCTCTTGCCTAACATGTCCCTCAGGAGGTAAAACTCAGAAACAAGGCTAGGCAGCCCATGCCTTCAGCACATGCCAGCAAGCTGCATTGGTAGCAATGGTGCAAGCCACAAGCTCTGCTTTTCTTCCCTACTAAATTTTTAACTTTACATTTTTAACCTTACATCAGGTAAAGAAAGTCTGCTGAGAAAAAACAAAGTCCAAGAGACTGGCAGGGCTGTTCAGTTTTCATTCCTCTTGGGTAATTATGACACAGATATACAGAGCTGGGAGAAAGGCACCAATTCAAAGTGCTACTATCAGTAGATTGGCTTGTTTGGGTAACTAAGAGCTCTAAATAATGTAGCAAAGGGATTCCCAAATTTTTTAGACCAACTAATGACTGCTAACTCCTGTTAACTACTGTGCACCTGTATCATCAAATCTCTAATTGAAAAGATTGCTTAATGTTGTTGTGAACATCAGCTGCAGCCTAATTACAGCTGCCCAATTACCACAGCCTCTTTCTGGAGCCTAGGAACTAAGGAGTTAGTGAAAGTGAGTGTGGAAAGTAGGCATCTGTGGGAAGAGACACGTTTAAGTGAAGAGCTGGAAATTGTCTGATCAGTTCAATATTGACAAGCCAAAACAGGGAAGAGTAAATTTAATTAAAAATAAAATGTTGTGCCTGTAGAAGAGAGAGAGCAAGAGCTTCCTCTTCCAAGCACATCTATAGACTCTGTGGGCTGTTGTAGTATAGATAAGAAACAACTTCTCTACACCTGGAGCTGTGTGCTGTCTTCAGTGTTTTCTGCTTTGGCTTTCCTGACTTCAAAAGAATGCAGATTTTTGTTTTGCTGGAGTGCTAGCCTGCATTATGAGCATAGGACTGAGGATATGACTGCATTCTTATAGTAAGAAGGTAAGCTCTGCTATGCCTAATAATTGTTAGAGGAGATTGTTGTTATGTTTTGTTTGTTGAGTTGTTTATTGTTTGTTAAATTCCTTTACAATTAATCAAATAGCAGAATAGCAAATGACTCATAGCAGTGCCAAGAATATTCACTGCTTCTCTCATAGGTGAGCTTTTGTCTCCCTGGAAGTTTCTGGTGATGGTTCTCTAGATTTCTTGAGGTAGTGCTCCTGACTTTTGTGCAGATGGGGTGGATGTAACAGGTACAAAGGCCTGAATTCAGTCATAAGACTTTAATGTGGCACAAACTAACATTTTGCTTCTTTATCTGGAGTCTCCTTTCAAGAAATGATTTGAAACCATGTATCTACGTTAATTTTTCCATGCTAACGGTAATTTTATGCATCTAGGTAGTAGTGATTCCTGTAAGAATTGTATGTGCTTTTCTTGTAAATGCAAAGCAGACATGTATTTTTGAATGGTGAATCTCTAGACTTGCACTTATACCATTGATAGCTTGAGGCTGCCATTTAACATTATAACCTGACAAAAAACCAGCTCTGCCCCAAACTGCAGCAATAAAGAACCTTGTTCCTATTTACATTTTGAATAACTGTTCCTACCAAGCAGCATGTAACTGTAACTAGAAGTCTTGGAAATTCAAAAGAAGTAATAGCTTATGATTTCAGAAGTTATCTGCTGAAATGAGCTGGATAACATTCAACAACATGGGAGGGAACCCTCCTCCTTGGGTATGCTAGGGTGCTATTACTGTTTTTGTTGTTGCCATTAAGTAATGAGGTACTCTGAATAGAAGCTCTCTGACCTAATGACTTATTTCAAAACCAAAGCTTTTCTGTAAATTGAGTATCATAGGAAAGCAATCTCTAGCCAGGCTTTAAAGCAAAGACTACTTATTCCAGTATACTATTTAACATGAGATACTGGTTTATACTACCTTGAAATGCAGAAAAATCAAGGCAGGAAGCTCAAAGACCCAAGTTTATTCCAACCTTACTGCTTTTTATTGACATACAGGGTAATTAATGTGTATCCTCAGCACTTAGGATACATTAAGTATCTGTGGTTAAGAGAACAGAAATTTTGCAGTTTGATTTAGCCTACCCTTTCAGAAGCTACGCATACTTCCAGGGGTTAATTTGTGTTCTATGACGTAGTCTTCATCTCTATACTTGATTGATTATAAAGCAATTTTTTAAATACACTATGCTGAATATCTGTATTACAATGGGTTCATATTTCATAGAATCATAGAATCGGGTGGGTTGGAAAGGACCTCTGAGATCATCAAGTCCAACCCTTGATCCACTACCACCACAGTTACTAGACCATGGCACTCAGTGCCACATCCAGTCTCTTCTTAAATACCTTCAGAGACAGAGAATCCACCACTTCCCTGGGCAGCCCATTCCAATGCCTGATTACCCTCTCTGTAAAGAATTTCTTCCTAATATCTAACCTAAACCTCCCCTGGCAGAGCTTGAGACCATGCCCTCTTGTCTTACTGATAGCTGCCTGGGAAAAGAGACCAACCCCCACCTGGCTACAATCTCCTTTCAGGGAGTTGTAGAGAGTGATGAGGTCACCCCTGAGCCTTCTCTTCTCCAAGCTGAACAACCCCAGCTCTCTCAGCCTCTCCTCATAGGACTTGTGCTCAAGTCCCTTCACCAGCCTGGTTGCTCTTCTCTGGACCTGCTCCAGCACCTCAATATCCTTCCTGAACTGAGGGACCCAGAACTGGACACAACACTCCATGTGTGGCCTCACCAGCACTAAGTACAGGGGAAGGATCACTTCCCTGCTCCTGCTGACCACACTGTTCCTGATCCAGGCCAGGATGGCATTGGCCTTCTTGGCCACCTGGGCACACTGCTGGCTCATGTTCAGCCTCCTGTCAATCCAAACTCCCAGGTCCCTTTCCACCTGGCTGCTCTCCAGCCACTCTGTGCCCAGCCTGTAGCACTGCAGGGGTTGTTGTGGCCAAAGTGCAGGACCCGGCACTTGGCCTTGTTGAACTTCATCCCGTTGGAATCAGCCCAGCTCTCCAATCTGTCCAGGTCCCTCTGCAGAGCACACCTGCCTTCCAGCTGATCGGCACTCCTCCCCAGCTTGGTGTCATCAAATTTACTAATGGTGGACTCAATCCCCTCATCAATAAAGATATAGTAATAATAATAAATCAATAAACAATAAATCATCAATAAAGATATTAAAGAGAACTGGACCCAACACTAAACCCTGGGGTACACCACTAGGGACATTTACCACATGCCAATCTGTGTTGTGAAAATTCTGAACACTGGTTGCTAAAAGAGAGGATATTTTGCCCACCAGTATGACTAGTGTTCTTTAGAGAGGGATAGGAGTGTAATAACTGTGTTTGCGGCATCTTTCTTTTTAACATCATGGTTATGTCCTCTCCTCTAGCCCCTAAAGGGCACAGAAGTTCCCAAGAGTCATGAGCTGGTCATTAGATCATATCAGGCCCGATCACCATTCAGAAGCAGTTTGGTTGGTTCTGTTGATTTATTACTGGTCTGATGCAGATCTGACTGTGGCATGTGTGGTTAAGGAGGATTGCTGAGCACATTAGCATGGTAATATGAGAAATGGTGACATAGTGACATGCTGATTGCAGCCTTTGTAGTCTAATGATACTCTTAGCACATAAATTCCTGAGAGGTGTTACAAAGTATAATTGTAGGAAACCAATGTGTTTTCAAGCGTCAAAACTCATGGCCACTTAGTTATCAGGAACAAAAGGGAATAAAAAACAGGAGCCAAAACAGGTATCTCCAATATGGGTACCAGGAGATAAATGGAAGGGTCGCTGAGGACAAAAACACTGCATGTGTGAAAGATGTTTCAAAAGTTGTCAGGATACCTCAACTGTATTGCTGCAACTTTCATAACCCATTCCATCTAAACCTTTCTCTTCCACTCAGGTTTTTCAGCTGATGCATCTTTTCACTGAGGAATGATTTTTTTTCTTCTTCTTTTTTTTTTTTTTTTTCCGTTTGGAAATAGCAAAGTAAGTACCTGTGTCAAGAGCATGTTACATAAACATGAGCGCGTTACATAAAGGATCCCGTGGGAAAGGGAGAAGGAGCCAAGACAAGGAAAGCAAAAGTGTAACAAAACATGAGTTTTCTTAGGAGCAGAGCAGAGGGAGCACGGGAGGGGAGAAGGGTGGGGTCTGTGCAGTGGCCGTTCCCGCACGGGAGTAAGAGCAGGCTGTCTGGGCAGGGCCGTGGCTGTCAGGGACAGGCGCCTGCAGCCGGGCCGAGCCCGCCCCCGGGCGGGGAGCGCCGAAGGACCCGCTCGCCGCGGGGCCGGGAAGCCCTAACGCGGGTCTCCTCCGGCCTAGTTCCTCGTTGGCCGACTTGCCCTGTCGCCCTTCTTCTCCTCCTCCCGGCGGCTTCCTGCCGCCGCGGCCGCCTCTCCGCGCACGCACCGCTCCCCCCTCCCGCCCCGCCGCTTCCCGTTCCCCCTTCCCCTCCCGAGGCGACCCTCCTCGGCGGGGCGGGATGTAGCGCCGCAGCCCCGCCGGGCCACCCCTCCTCGGGGCGCGACACCCCGGCAGCCCCCCCGGCACCGCCACCGGCGTCGCCGCCGTGCTTTCGGTTCCGGCGGGTCCCGCTCCCGGCCGCCGTGCCTTACCTCGGGTGCGCCGCTCCTCTCCGTCCTGCCGCCTCGCCGCCCCCTGCGGAGCGCCCCGGCCCCGCGGCGGCGGGAGGCGGGCCCGGCCCGGCCCGGCCCGCGCCTTCTCGGAGCGCAGAAGGTGTCTGGGCTGGCCCGAGGGCTCCGCGGAGCTGCCGCTGCCCTGGATGCTGTGCGATGACTCGGTCCGTGCGACGCAACGCCCGCCCTCCCACCGGGAGAGGAGGGCGGGAGCCCTGCCCGTCCCCAGCGCCGCCGCCTGGGTGAGCCCGCTGCGCAGTGTGAATAGTGAAAACCTGGCCGCGTTACCGAGCCCGACAGCAGCTGAGTGCGTGGAAATGCCTTTCTCTGTTGAGGATTTGGTGCTGAGATGTGTGGCGGAAAGTTGTTCGGGAAGGGTGGAGGCAGGAGTTTGTCAACAGGGTAACTGTAACACGAGCCAGTCCCGGGGACAGCTGGCGCGAAATAGATAACCTAAAAGGACCGACAAATCCCGTCTAGTCCATTCTCCTCGGAGGGTCGGGTATGTTGCTAACACAGGTGCTTTACGTAAGACCGATCGCTTTGCCATTCATCCAGTGAAATGATGGTGATGATGAGTGTCTACCCTCTTGGCCCTGATCCTTCCCATTGTGGGGAACTGTTGCGCTCTCCACGGTGCTTTGCAGTGGAGTTCACAGCTCAGTATTACCAGGCAGTACCAGAAAAGCAGCAGATCAGTCTGAGAGGGTGATAGCAGCCCACAAATTGTGTCCTTCATTTCTCCCTGTGATGGTCAGCAACGTAGTATCTGAAACCATCCATGTACTCCTAAAACTATCCATGTACCCCCATCTGCTCTTCCAGGGAAGACACGGTCTGTTTTGTGTCTTCTGATGGCCAGCACATGCATCTGCTAGGGGCAGGGGACTCCTGCCTGCCAGCTTCCTGAAAGGTGTCTCTTTGGAAAGACAGAAAGGACACAGTTGGATGTGGGCAGCTGTGGTTTTGGAGAGGTAGAATAGCCTTGGCGATCACTTTCAAGATGAAGCTTTCTCTCTGAGTATCGAGACTGCACTGCGTTGGACAAACTTAATAAATGGTTTCTTTTCAAAATCTCTCTCACAAAAAAAAAAAAAAAAACAACCTGAGTGCAATCGTTTCCCCTCAAAAAGAATAAAATAGAGTTGGCAGTGGAACTAGTGCATGCCCTGTTTTCCACTTATTCTTGATCAGCTGGTATTGAGACAGGAGTTTAATGCTCTGACAGCTCCAGATGCAAGGGCTGATCACACCTACTGTAATGAGGAGACTTGGGATGGAATCCCAGATTGCCAAACTAAGCTAATTCCAGTTTGTATACAGCCATTTCATGTACAAGGATTTTTTTGTTTTGGTTTGGTTTAGTTTGGTTTTTCTGCTTTTGAGCTTTGCTTTGTGTATGGGGCTAAAAGCATGGGCTGAAGGCAGGGAGAAAAATGGCTGAATTTTTAAGAATCGTGTGGTTAAAAAGCTTGCATTCTCATACAGTGGTGTTTTGCCAGGAAGCACTAGGCAAAAAAGACTGAGATTGGCATTTATTTGTTGGTGTTTAGAGGTCAGTGCTGCCAGTTATGATATTTCCTCTTTAAATGAATAGGGAAAATAAACTGACCCAGAAATGCAATCTTAATTTAGAGATAAATTTCTTAATTCTGATTGAGAAGAAAGGAAGGTTATCTTGACATGGACAATAAGTTCAAAACATTTTTAGTGCTTTTCACAATAATGCATTTACATAAGCAGAAATCTTCAATTTTAATATTAATGAAAATTAAATAATGCCATTAGTTCTCTTTTTACTTTAACTGAAACTTGCACTAATCTCAATGAAACTTTTACATACTTCGTACTAATAATCTCAGCCATCTTATTAAAACTTATAGTAAATAAAATATAAATACATCAAATTCTCAAAAAAAAACCAGAGGTGTTTGACATGTAGCTGGTTTTATTGCCAGCAGGATGAAATGTGCAGGTTTCACTGCATCACTGGAAAAATTGTAGGGTCTTCTGTCACCTTTACTGAGTGTTCTGAAGCGATCTGAAAAGAGTAAGACTTTGAAGGGCTCTGGAATAATGATTGAGTGGGCAATGAGACAGAAAGTGAAGGTCAAGTTATTAAAGGATGCACATGAGAAAAAAATTTACCTAAATTGATGTATAAAATATTGGGCCTTGAGCTGACCGTTACCATTGATGGCCAAGTTGTAGGGTTACAAGAGATGCAAACATTAGCTAAAGCAAACCATGTTTCAGAGGTGATTATAAAAGGAGCAAAGAAAGTCACGGAGTTGACTCTGCATGTGCCTCTGGTCCCCTCTTCTCAGTAATGGGATAGTGAGACTGGAGGAGTTCAGAGAAGGAAAACAAGGGTGCCCAGAGGCCAATGCGACTTTTCTTGGAAGAACTAATGAGCAGGACAGGACTCCTTGGCCTGGGAAGGAGATCATTTAGGGGGGAAGGTGATGCACATGCACAAAACTCTGAGCAGTGTGTAAAAGAACAGATGGGATTGATTATTACTGTTGACTGGGAGGAACCAAACAAAGCTCCTAGGAACCAGGTGTCACCTTCCCAGGGCTCCCTCCCCACCCAATGCTTCATGCAAGGAAAAACTGACCTGCTGGACTTTGCCAAAATATACTGGCTGCTTGAAGTTGACATGAATTCAAGAGGATGCTGAACAAAATTCAGAGCAGAGATCTATTATTTGGCTTTGTAAATATAGAGAAAAATGTATGTACCTCAGGAAATCCCCCAAACTAAATATAGTTAACACCCAGGTCAATATTCATGGGAAGTGCTTGCTCTTCCTGGCCTATAACCACTGTGCAGAAAAAAACTCAGGGCTGCAGGATCCTTGTTCTGACCTAGCACAGCCACTGTGGATACTTAGATTAAATATATCTAGGCTAATACAAGCGCCTAATGCTACAATGTTTTTGGGATCTGCCAAATAGTGTCAAGAAGTGTATCCTGAATATACAGGTCAGTCGTTATTAGATTGTTCACTTCATACCAGACCAAACAGGAACATGTGATCTTCCCCTGCGGTAGCGCTTCCCAGTCTGGTGTATCAGCTTACACAGTCCCTGCAGAGTCTGGGCTCAGCATGTTTATTATCCAAAGAGCCCTTAAAGAACTGTGAGGCTAGGGTGTGACAAGACTGGCCCAAAGAAGGGATGGCAGATGCACATGCTGTAGGCAGAGACCTAAGTGTCATTTGGAAGCCACTCAGGAGACCGTTTCTTATTTGGGCCACATTCTTTTAATTCCAGAGTGCAAAGCCAGCTGTTGGGTGAGCTGGTCAAAGCAAGAAATTGGGTAGCTAAGTGAGAAACCCACCCCTTGCCCTATGCACCAACAGGGTTAACAGCTCTCAAAAAGAATCCTGCTACAGTTCAAGGTGAAAATCATGGATGTTAAGAGCCAGACAGTCCTTTTGTCCCACTAGATCCTGACCCATCGACAGGCAGTGCTCCTGCAGGTTTTCAGGTAGGCATCCTGCCTTACCAGCTGGTAGTGCTGGAGATCTCCAAGGAAGCCCACTGATGGTGGAGGGGGATGCAAATGCCCTCCAGACTCAAACACCAACCCTGACTGATGTGAAGGGGCAGGAAGCACACAGCATTCCTTTTTGTCTCCACTTAGGGCAACCGAAATAGAGAAGTCCCTTTGGTTTTAGGAAGCTACTTAGTTTACAAATGGGAGGTGCAGTCTACAAAGGAAGGCAATGCATGCACATACCATTATACAATATTTGTTTTTTCCCTTTTCTGGTAGCTGTTGTAGCTTTAACATTGCTTTGTGACCATGTGGAAAAGCCTAAGGCTGCCCACAAGGCTTTCCAGCTGTCAAAGTCACTGTGCAACTCTACATCCTTTTGCATTGCTCATGATCTGGCTTCATAGCTCAAAGGCACAAGGTAGAGCCCTCATGGCCACTCCTGCTCTTTTAAACAACAAGTGTGAGTATGGGCAGCATGTCCAGGAATACCCCGGACAATAAAAATAGTGGCAGTTGGTACAAACAGTATTAAAATTACCTTGGCCATGTACTTTATTGTTTCATAAGCAGCAATGGTATCATCTCCCGTTAAATACCACTTGTGTTATCAATCACAGTTGGGCTGGATAATATCACAGTTTATGTGAGCAAGGAGAGCTTCACAAAGAGTTTTGCACCCATCCTTATTGAGAATCCCTCAGAAACCGATGAAGATAAATGCTGAATTTTCTGTTAAGCTGCTAGCTGCTGTATTCCAGATTGTTAAAATGCATTTGAATTAGGAGATTAGCATTCAGGTATTTAGATAGAGCATCCAAAAGAATGGAGAAAAATGATCTTCTCTCTGTAGTCTTGTACCTGAACACTACTTGAAATACCACTCAGGAGAGCAGTTTATGGGTTCTTCCTTCCAAAGAGTCTTCAGACGCTGGGTCCAGGCAGTCAGCATCTCCTTCCTCTTCTCCTCAGAGACACACTCTGGAGCATAACAGATGTGAGGTTCAAGGACTTTGACACCACAGAAGTGCATGATTCCATGCTGGATGCAAAATAAAGAAGGAAATGCTTCAGGAAATAGTTACTCTTTCAACTGAAGAACATGCATGATTCAAATGTGAACCTGTTTCTCTGACCCAGGATCAGGCAGGTTCTCTAAATCTGTGCATTTATCAGAGAAGGGAAATAAATTGCTTTTACACCAACAGAACTCTCCTCTTTGGCTGCTGTACTCTGTTAAATTTGCAAGGATCAGAGATGGCCTAAAGTTCATTGTCCTGTTCGAACTTCCTCAGATTGTTCCTGAACTGCAGTGTCTTTCACATCTACTTCCAAATTGGGTTTGTGGATTTTTTTTCAACCTTTTCCCTCTGAAAGAAGACTAGTGCCTGTGGAATCAACTCAACTTGCCATTTTCCCTCTGTGTATTTCTGAATTCAATGTTAGGCTTCACGTTTTTGTCACCTTTATTTGCAAGCCCTGGAGCTGGACAGCTCCTCAGGGGCAGGAAGCTGGTAATTACAATGGGTAGGAAATCATGTGTGACTCCCCTCCTGCCCTGCATCCTACACTGGGTAACCATGGGGAAACATCCCACACCCTAGAGATAAAGGAAATCCTGTAATACCAGAGAAACTGAGAAGGCTGACAGCATAAGCTGTCTCCAAATTCTAATCTGGAGGAAGGGGCACAAAACAACTTTAAACCTCTCTGGACTTTTAAGGTAGTCTGAGGATTTTAGAGCCCAGTTTATAACTTGCAGATGCTTGGAGCAGGCAACTTAATAATTATTTCTTCCTATACTTCCTATAAAATAAACAGTATGAGAATTGTTAAAAATAATTTGAACAATATTGAAATATACAACAACCAAATATTTATACATTATACCTGCATGGGCCACAGAACATAACGAATATCACCACCGATACTTCCATTTGAATACATTTCTTTGGTTCCTCCAGTGGTGAAAGAAAACAGGGATAATTTGTCCTAGAATTAAGAAAGTGATGCTTGAGTTAGACACATTTGAAGAAGAGTGGCTGAACAGTTCAAGAGATATTCAGGGGAACCTGAACAGCATAAATTTCTAGAAGAGGGAGGTGTCATATTCTTTCCCAGACCTTAGTAGAATTAGCAGTTCTGATGCAAAGATTGGTGACATACAGCTAGACAGTTGACTGTGTGTCCAGGCTTTGAGAAGAGACAGTTTAAAAGAAAAGGAATTACATGTCTGACACCCTTGTATGAAGCAGGGCTGATGCATTATTTGAAGACAGTGTAAAGAGAGAGCTTTAAACAACCACAAAGCAAAAGAAAGACCAATGCCCAGAAGAACACTGTGCAAACCTTGAGCTTAATAATCTCAAAAACATACCTGGAGCAAACCGCCATCATAAGACTTTGACAAATCATAAGCAAAGCCTTGGACCAAGACTCTGTCCATCCAGCCCTTCAGGATCGCAGGCATGCTGAACCAAAACAAGGGAAACTAGGCAAAGAGTAAATTACCTGGTTAGCACAGGTATCTGGAATCTGGACCACCCTTAGGCCTGGTTCACAGGCCAAATCCTATTCTCCAAGTCTGCTCAGATCTCGTACCTGCCTTCTTCCAGCTCTCTGCCAGGAGAGGCACTAACTATGCTTGGCAACAGGACCTGAAGTGCTTTCTGATTGTGGTAGTCTCAGGGCCATACCTGAGCACCTACAGCACACTAACACTAGGGTGTATGTGAGGACTTCCACCCAGATTAGAGTTGGAATATGATGAATCAGGAAGGTACCATTTAATTCGAACTTAAGACTGTACAGAATCACTGTACAGAATCCTATGTGTGAAATGCAAAAGCAACAGATGATCTAATGCCTTATTAGCAGGACTGACATCAGATGATCAGTTCTGATCTGACAGTCTGCTGACAAATGCTGGGGGATCTTACTTTCACACCCTGCTGATATCATGACCCTAAATCCCTTTATTGAGAAGGAAACTACTTCTTTAACACTTGGACTCTTAGTGTATAGATCTTCCAGTTAGCCTATGGGACTACATCCCAAAGCTATCATGTCTTAATTGCTTTATCTTAAATGCTTTATGGGCTGTTTTTCTAGGAAGCATCACTAGCACTAAGCCTTTGTACACACTGAAGAACAGAAGAAAACCTGTAAAAGCATCACCGCATTGGGCTTAATTTGAGATGGAAACAAAGTGGAAACCGGACAGTCAGCACTGTCTCTACAAGTGGATGAGTTTAGTCTGCAGCAAATTTGGAATGACTTTATGGTGTCTTACAGAGGCTTTTTTTTAATAAATAAGAGAGAAAGTGAACAACAAAACTGAAGTGTATTTAAAATAATGACCTGAAAAATCAGCAAGTCTGCTTCCTGCACCTTCTTTTGCTCTTCAACCAGATCTTTGGACAAACCTCCCCTCTTGTAAGCTTCCCAGGTCTCCACGCCATAATTGAAAGCTTCCGAGTTATGCAAGCGACCTGTGGGTAGAAGTGAAGTCATTCCTTGCCCTGTGTCCAGCACCAAGCCAGATAAGATTTAAACACAGATTAAAGTCTACAGTTCTAAACTGAGTCACTGCTTTCTGTTTTCCCACTTCCTTTTCTTTGGTGGATATTCAACATCCTCACAGCTGAAGGTGATTTGATTTTAAAGTGGAGAGGAATGTAGAGCCTCAGAGTCCTAAACTTTCACCTTCCTGTAGCAACATACAAAGTGCAATATGAGGACCTAAGGTTGGCTCAGGACTCAGGTGATGCAGGTGGATGATTTGAGAGATTTTTGCTAATTGTTCTGCCTCTGCCTTAGGGTTTACTGAGACCATCATGCACTTATAAGCACGATGGAGCTGCTTTCCAGCCTCTGTAAGTGGGAAGCTCAGCAGCTGCTGGGGAACCACTAATGGCCATCTCTGCTGATTCCACAGCAGTTGGGTGAGCTCATTCAAGGATGTCTGAGTCAGGCATAGAGGTTTGTTCTGTCACTTCAACTGGCAGATATCAGTCTCTAGCAGAAGACAGAGGCAGTAGCCTCGTGAACTAACCGTGTAGCAAGTCACAGAATGGTTTCTGAAGACATTTTCTCCCCACAAGAAATAGACTTCAGAGATTGATTGTGGACATGTGCTAATGCATTCTTCCCTCTCAATGATCTCACTGAGAGACAAAGTTCATGCTCAGGAGTGAACTTTTAGAAATGCTGTCTGTCCATATATAAATTTCTTATTAATGAAATAAGTTTCTTATTAATCTCTTGATGATGCAAGGCCTGGAGCACCTCTCCTATGCAGTCCGACTGAGACAGTTAGGGTTGATCAGCATGGGGAAGGCTCCAGGGAGACATTTCTCAGCCTTCTGTTACCTAAAGGGGGGCTTATGAGTCAGTATTGTTGATAAAGGTATATTTTGGCTAGTCTCACCAACAATGTCATTTCTTGTTGCTCTTGGCTCAAACTGCATTGCATATAAATCCGACACTGTGACACTGCAGCCCTGCTTGGTCAATTCTTCCACAGCAATCTTCAACAAAGATCCATTGAAGGACTTGGGCTCTTGATGTGCATAGACTATCAGGACTTTTTTCCCTGGAGGCAGAAAGAAAACCAGAAGACAATTTTGAATATAGGAGGCAGATGCAGGACAATTTGTGGAGCTGGGGCTTGGTCCTTCCTTTTTCTATAGTGTGTTTTCCAAGTGGCACAAAACTAGTGGAAACAGAATGACAGTGGCAGGATTTGACTCCTGCTCAGCAGCAGTGAGTGACTCCTGAGGTAATAATCACTGAATGCCCCCTGCCCAGCAATTCTGTGCAACACTGGGCTTTCCTAGGTGGCAGTCAGTGGACACTGGATATGTTCCACAGCAGGTCATACTGCCCTACATAAACACTACCCAGTCCCTCCTCGAGTCGATGTTTCTGTTGCTCTGATTCCACTATTCCCAAAAAGCAGTGCCAGCCTGGATTCACTCCAAGTGCTGTGGCAGCAACTTCTGAAAGCTCGGAGCAACTTCCTACTGCAGTGTGGGATCCCCTCATCTTCCAGTTCAGTGCTGCACAGGTGACAACATCGGGGTAGATGCTTAAGATGCCACCACCTCATTTCAGCATCACAACAGTGACTTCAATAGAAAGCAAAAGGTTTGGGTTTTTTTTTTAGAGATTAGGCTATCTAGCGTATCTCAAACTGCTGTCAAAGTGTATTCAAGTAAGCTGATTAGCCAGGCAGATATCTTGGGATGGAGCTTTTCAAAGGGATGTAACAAGACGTATCAGAGATTACTTGTTCAAAATTTATTGAATATAGGTTATGCATTTTAATAATTCTCTTTAAAATAATATTTTATCAGTGAAAACAAGTGTGTATGGGGTAGTAGTTGTTTATACATAACCACTGCAGTGGGGTAAATTCCCAAGGACTGTTGGAAATGACTTGATCTACAATACATGCAGCTCTTGGTTCCTGACTGCCATCACTAAGCTTCAGGCATCTCCTGAGCTCAGTTTCTGCATGACACAGCTCCTGATGTACATCCCAGAGCACCACCTGCTAAGTGATAGGCAAGTTTAGGCTGTTAGGGATAACTAATGGAACCCAAGCTGAATGTTTGAAGAAACAACAGCTCATTTTTAACCTAATTTACAGGTAGTGATTCTTTCTCCAAGGTGCATAGTGCCCATGAAACAAGAGCTTTGCAAAAAACACTTATTAAAACTTGCAGGTCAAATGCTATTCTAAATTCAAGGCATGTATCAACTCTGAAAATCCCTGTTCCACAGCTTACTCTAGAATATCAGAAGCAGTGACCTCTTTGCTGCTTTGCTCTTTCTGCCGGCTGTCAGCAAAAAGGGAGCTCAGGGAGATGCCAAAAGTTCCAAAAGGTGGTAAGATTAATTCTGCAAAGGTGATGGATTGTTTCCCTTTCACTGGATCTGAAGGGTGACTGAACACAGTGTTTGAGGGGACTGGAGTTTTCTGAGGCATCACTTACTGAAGTAATTTCAGTGATTTGAAAAAGGAAGACCTCAAAGTCACAACTAAACACGGCAGTGAAGCCCCATCCCTGAGGTGCCCTTTGCCCAGGCCTGGAGCGAGCAGCATTTTCATTCTCATTTGCTCTTACCTGCCATTTTCCGGGAGCACTGGGGAGCTTCTCTCCTGAGAATCTGGTACGGCCTGAGAACTCAAATGAGAGATTTTCTAGTGAGAAACACCAGGAACACGTGCGAGGAGAACCGCTGTTCCAGTGGGAAATGTACCGGTGTGTGTGTTTGCACACACACTCACCACAGGCTGGCACTAAGCACGACCCGCCGGGATGGGCCGGGCCGTCAGCGTTCCCTGGGAGCGGGAAGGGTGCCGCCGGCTCTCGGCCCTGGCCCTGGAGCAGGAATTCGTCTCCGGCCGCCGGCCCGGCTCTGGACGGCCGCGGCACGGCCGCCTCGGCCCGGGGCTGCGCCGGGGCCATCGCGCCGCTCCCGCTCTCGTGCCGCCCTCTGGAAAGCGTTTTGGGAGCGGAACCCGGATCCCCGACCCCAGAGCAAGCCGGCGTGCCCTCACCTGCTCCTCGGAGCCCGGCGCACACTTGCGGCGCGGCTGGGAGCAGCTCTTCCCGGTGGCCCTGCTGCCCGGGCCCTGGGGCAGCGCCAGCGCGGGGCGGGATCGGGATCGGGATCGGCGCCGCCCGCGGCCGCGGCTCCGCTCGAGTCCGCGCACGGCCGGGTGCGCGTCCCCGCTGCTGTTACCGCAAGTGACACCCACATCATCTGTGGGTTGGGTGGGTTTTTTGTTTGTTTGGGTTTTTGTTTGTTTGGTTTGGTGGTTTTTGTTTTTGCCTTTTTTTTGTTCTTGTTTTTGTTTGTTTGTTTGTTTTGTTTGTTTTGGTTTGGTTTGGTTTTGTTCTCTGGTCTTCTCCAAACACAGAACTCGATCTTCATTTCTCCCTATGGTGGTCAGCAACGTAGCATGTGAAGTCCTAAACCACCCACGTAACCGTATCTGCTCTTCTAGCGGCAGGCATAGTCTGATTTTGTGCCTTCTGCTGGCCACGTGCATCTGCCAGGGGCAGGGGGCTCTTGCCTGCCAGCTTCCTGAAAGGTGTCTCTTTGGAAAGGCAGATGGGACACGGTAGGATGGGGGCAGCTGTGGTTTTGGAGAGGTAGAATTGCCTTGGTGATCACTTTCAAGATGAAGTTTTCTGAGTATCGACACCGTTTTCTGCACCTTGTTGGACAAACTTAACAAATAGCTTTTTTCCAAGATGTCAAAAAAAAAAAAAAAAAGGTTGGCAGTGGAACTGGTGCGTGCCCATCCCTGTTTCCCACTGATTTGTGATCAGCTGGTATCGAGACAGAACAGGAGTTTAATGCTCCGACAGCTCCAGATGCAAGGGCTGATCACACCTACTGTAATGAGGAGACTCAGAACGAAATCCCAAATTGCCAAACTAAGCTCATTGCAGTTTGTATATAGACATTTTGTGTCCATCCACACTGTGAGGTATTGTAAGGACAGTGTTATGGAACCTGCAGTCCAGAGACTCTGGAACATTTTTCAGCTAAATAAAGCAAATGCAAATATGAATGTGGTATCTCTGGTGGGCCAGTTGTGCAGTTTTGGTCTTCTGCAATCCCAAGCATTACAGAAATCTTTTGATAACATTGAAATTCTGAGGGTTTTTTTCTTGTTTTGGTTTAGTGTAGTTTTTCTGCTTTTGAGCTTTGCATTGTGTATGGGCTGAAGACAGGGTGAAAGATGGCTAAATTTTTAAAAATTTTGTGGTTAAAGAGCTTGCATTCTCATTGAGTGGTGTTTTGCCAAGAAACACTATTGGAGGAAAAAAAAAAAAAAGACAGAAATTGGCATTTATTTGTTGGTGTTTAGAAGTCATATGTTTGACATGTAGCTGGTTGTTTTTGCCAGGAAGATGAACACTGCTGTGTGTGAAATTTTCAGGTTTCATTGAGCCACTGGAAAATTGTAGGGCCTGATAAATAAAAAGCACCAAAACACCACAGTGCTAGACCAAGGCTACCTGGAATGGTTACTTCTCTGCTTAATCTTAAGTAAAATCCAACCATAGTAAGCTTGTCTCATAATGGGAAGGTGACTTTGCGTGTATTTTCCTGGGATGAACTTTAAAGGCTGTGTTGTAAGCTTTGCCAGCAGAGGTTTAATTTTTTTCTACTTCTTCCTCTCCGTCTGTAATTTGCTGCCAGGTATCTCTTTAGAGGCTTATCCCTCTCCATGTTTCAGATGAATCCCAAATTCTGTAGGGATTGAGCATAACCATGCTCTGGCAGTCCCTGTCTGGCCCAGCTCTGCCTGGCCCAGCAGGGATGAGTGTTCTCTCATAGAGGAGATTCCCACGACTCAATGCTGAAACATTAATTCTGGGCTCCACATCCGATTTTCATTTTTTCACAATTTCAATTTTCAATTTTCACAATTGCCACAAATTTTCACTGCAGTTAAGTTCAGAAGACAACCACTTGAGGTCTCCCCTACATGCTGAGCTGTAGCCTAGAAACAGGTGACAGAAATAAGGGGGTGTCCATGTAGAGTGTACTGGGAGGATTTTGTTTCCTCTTGACTTCTTTTTAAGTTCCAGTAAAGAACAATCTTTGTTCTGCGTATCTCACTGGGGTACAATAGCATTTTCAGGTGTGGCAATCTGTTGTGTGGACAAGCTGATTAGGTCTTGGTTTATTCTGTTGGATATTAACAAAATGCTTTCTCATTTCATCAGCATCAATTCAGAAACAGCTATGGGATATTTTGGCTGCACACTTTCATTATGCATGGTGTTTGTTATTGGCTGTTCCTCCCTTCAGCACAACCTTTTGATTTACTAGTCTATTACAAAGTACACTCCTCTGCAAGCAGGCAGCTCAGCTCTGTGACATTGTTCCAGGAATCAAATATTAAAACCACAGAATGACTACCTATACCTGCCTTTAAATGTTAGGCTTTTTTGTAGACCTGCAAGAAATCAGTTTGGATTTCTCTAGGCTATGAGGCTTCTTGGTAACACAGTTAAGGTGAGGAACTGTTTGCTTCCCTGTGGTTTTCTGAAGTTGCGCGTGTTTGACCTGCCATTTCAGAACATCAAATAAAAGAAATTCAGTTATGATTTCTGGAACAAATTGTCAGAGAAGAAGACCGGAGCATTGCCTAGACATCTGTGGGAAAGAAGCACCACTGACAACAAAAAACAAATCCCCAGACTAAATGAGAGAGGAAAGCATGTTGCCCTTATATCCTTCTCCCCAGCCTGAAACACAGGTACAAGTTACTCACCTAATTCTAGTTTTATTCTGGTGAAATCAGTGCTATTTTGGCAGGATGACATTTGACTTACAGCAAAATGTGATTTAGCAGGACAATAATTCTTAATTCAAAATGGCTGTAACATTTCCAGTACTACTAAGAAAGTAATACTGCCACTTAGTTTCTCTCTCCTTATTAACCACAGACCACTCAATGTTGGTCCCCCATGTGGTAAAATTCTCCTTTGAGTTTTAGAACTCAGAATTGTTATTTGGAAATCAGAACACACATACGCTCCAGCGCAGTGTGCTGCCTAG